AGAGAGAGAGAGAGAGAGAGAGACAGGCTGCTATTACTGTATATATATATATATAGAGAGAGAGAGAGAGAGACAGACTGACTGCTATTATTAGAGAGAGTCAGACAGACTGCCATTACTGTGTATATATATATATATAGAGAGAGAGAGAGAGAGAGAGAGAGAGACAGGCTGCTATTACTGTGTGTATATATATATATATATAGAGAGAGAGAGACTGCTATTACTGTATATATATAGAGAGAGAGACAGACTGACTGCTATTATTAGAGAGAGAGAGACAGACTGCTATTACTGTATAGAGAGAGAGAGAGACAGGCTGACTGCCATTACTGTATATATATAGAGAAACAGACTGCTATTACTGTATATATAGAGAGACACAGACAGACTGCTATTACTGTATAGAGAGACAGACTGACTGCCATTACTGTATATAGAGAGAGAGACAGACTGACTGACATTACTATATATATATATATATATATATATATATATATATAGAGAGAGAGAGAGAGAGAGACAGACTGACTGCCATTACTGTATATAGAGAGACAGACTGACTGCCATTACTGTATATATATAGAGAGAGACAGACTGCTATTACTGTATATATAGAGACAGACTGCCTGCCATTACTGTATATATAGAGAGAGACAGACTGCTATTACTGTATATATAGAGACAGACTGACTGCCATCACTGTATATATATAGAGACAGACTGCTATTACTGTATATATATAGAGAGGGACAGACTGACTGCCATTACTGTATATAGAGAGAGAGAGAGACAGACTGACTGCCATTACTGTATATAGAGAGACAGACTGACTGCCATTACTGTATAGAGAGAGATACAGACTGATATTACTATATAGACAGACTGCTATTACTGTAAAGAGTGATACAGACAGACTGCATTTACTATAAAGAGTTTAAACAGGCAAGCAGACTGACTGCTATTACTCTATTGACAGAGACTAACTTCTATTACGCTATTAACAGAAACTGCTATTACTGTATAGTAGACTGACAGACTGCTATTACTGTAGAGAGACAGACTGACTACTATCACTGTATAGAGACAGACTGACTGTTATTACTGTATATAGAAAGAGACAGACTGCTATTACTGAAGTGATAGACTGACTGCTATTACTGTACAGAGAGAGAGACACAAACTGACTACTATTACTGTATAGAGAGACAAACTGACTACTATTACTGTATAGAGAGACAGACTGCTATTACTGTATAGACAGACATCCTGCATTTACTATAGAGAGTTGAAACAGACAAGCAGACTGACTGCTATTACTCTATTGACAAAGACTGACTGCTATTACTGTATAGAGTGAGACTGCTATTTCTGTATAGAGTGAGAGACAGACTGATAATTTTGTAGAGAGTTGGAGACAACCAAGCAGACAGGCCGCTGCTGTGTTGATAGAGGTGTATATTATATACAGTATGGAGATGGAAGGTCAGACAGACATACTGACTACTACAGAGTGAAAGACTGGCAAGCAGAAAGACTGCTGCCATATACTGACAGTCAAGCAGACATTCTGCTACTGTAAAGAGAGCTACACTGTGTTGAGAAACTTGAACATTTGTATGTATCTACCTACAGAAACTGTCTACCAATCAACTAATAGTGAAATGTCCAGCCTTCAACGTCCTGCACCACAGTCACAGACAGTGTCACTCACACTGGAGCAGGTGAAAGGTGAGTTAAAGATAGGTGCACCAGGGACCATGTTTATACAGACTGACTGCCAGTGTGCATGTGTGTAAGCTGCATGTTTATACAGACTGACTGCCAGTGTGCATGTGTGTAAGCTGCATGTTTATACAGACTGACTGCCGGTGTGCATGTGTGTGTAAGCTGCATGTTTATACAGACTGACTGCCGGTGTGCATGTGTGTAAGCTGCATGTTTATACAGACTGACTGCCAGTGTGCATGTGTGTGTAAGCTGCATGTTTATACAGACTGACTGCCGGTGGCTATGGAATTTCTAGCCTACAGTAGCTGAATCATTATAGGTTACCAATGCCTCTCTGTAGGTTAATATATAGATAGCCATAGTTGCAGATTTAGCTGCAAAGGATGGGTCAGTCAGTTGCCTTGAAGACGAAAAGGTGCTGTAATCAACAATTTGTGTGTGTAAGTTTTCATTTTCCAATACTGTTTTCCCTTATTTCTGTGTATTGTCCAGGGAGCTGTAAGCTAATTGACAACTATTGGCAAGGGCTATACAAAATATTCAAACATGCATATTTATTATAAAAAAACAAAACAAAAAACAGAGTCATAGTCACAGCAGAACGTGTCCGAGAAGCATAGTAGTCATAGTGAACTCTATAGAAAGCAGGCAGTGATGGCTGTTTGCTGTTTGTTAGTCTACAATAATTTATTTAAAAAACAAAAACAAAACAGAAACACAAGAAAGGGCTGCGCCTAAGATATACACAAAATATATTAAACACTATAAAAATAATAAAATAGTCCCAAGTCAAGGGGAAAGTTCTTGTCTGGAAGAGTATGTAGGTTTCAGAGGTCCTTGGTATAATCCGTTACATACCATAACAAGACAAAAAGAGCAAAACTCCAATAGTGCAAGATGTCAACTCAAACAGAGTGGATGTTGTAAAATTAGGATGGGTTACTCACATTTAGTGGAGCTATAGTCTGCTCCAGTGTGTAGAGAGTATAATGGTATAGTCCCCACTTACATGATATGATGTAGGTAGGTGTTCACAATGGGAAAGGTGCCAAAAACCCGGAAGAGAATAAAAAAGCAACAAATAGTGCTCTCTGTAGCATAAAAAACAGCTTAAAATAAAAATAATTTATACTCACAAAGGTAGGGCAGACCAACTGCTCTATGAATTAGACTCTGGTGGTATGATCCCCACCTATGATACTGTCGAGTGGATAGAAAATGCCAGGAGCTTTTAAATAAATAAAATGTAATTGGTACAGTTCACAAGTAAAGTGACCAAAAATCCTTCATTAAATAAAAAACAAAATAGTAACATCCACAACGCGTTTCACCAATAAAGCTTTATCAAATGGAACTTTTTTCCCCCTAGTATTTTGTTTTTTTATCCATTTGCTATCTGTACAATGCATTTTGTATGTTTTTTTGTTCTGTAGTGTTGCCGTATGTTAACGTCCAATCTGTGTAGCTTGAAGCTGTTTGGGTCCTGTGTTCAGCCATACCCTTGACTTGTTATCACAGTAAAACAGACAATAATGTTGCGTTTTTTAAGATGTCAACTTGACAACATATACCTATTCATACTGTCGGGCTCCCCCTCATTGCCCATCTAGAGATGGTAATAAAAGACCTTCATGATTTCTTGGACACATATTACGTCTTCATGCTGATGGGCAGTATTTGAGAAGTACTGCTCTGTGCTATATATCATTCATAGTTTACGTATGATTAAGTTTTTTGAAGGAGCTACTCTGGTGTACCACCCATCAACATGAAGACGTGAACATTGTCCAGGAAACAGGGTGGTGGATAAGCCATATGCCGAGCTCATGCTGAGCAGGTGACAGCAGTGAGAGTTTAGTGAATAAAGCGTTCTGTTTTTAGAACTTTTACTACAGTCATTCTAGGGAAGTGAGGCAACTATGGGCAAATCATTACTCTGATAAATGAGTTACTATGTGATGCTCTTCCCCTTTTCCTTCAATAGCATATTTTATCTAATGTTGTAGACATGGGCGTGCGCAGCCTATTGCATTAGGGTGTGCACCCTAAAGCACAAGCACACGCCGCGTATATATATATATATGTATGTATATATATATATATATATATATATATATATACACACACATACACACACTGCTGTGTGTGTGTGTGTGTGCCTTGTGAGGGTGCTGTTAGTGCGATGTGTGTGTGACGGTGCTGGTAGTGTGCTATGTGGGTGAGGGTGTTTGTGTGTGCGTGCTTGTGAGGATGCTGTTAATGTACTGTGTGTGAGGGTGCTGTTTGTGTGTGTGTGTGTGTGCGCTTGTGAGGGTGCTGTTAATTAACTGTGTGTGAGGGTGCTGTTTGTGTGTGAGGGTACTGGTAGTGTGCTGTGTGTGTGTTTGTTAGGGTCCTGTTGTGAGGGTACTGTTAGTGTGCTGTGTGTGTGTGTGAGGGTGCTGTATGTGTGTTGGTGCTGTGGGTGCGGTGTATGTGGGTGCTGTATGTGTGTGGGTGCTGTATGTCTGTGGGTGCTGAATGTGTGTGGGTGCTGTATGTGTGTGGGTGCTGTGTATGTCTGTGGGTGCTGTATGTCTGTGGGTGCTGTATGTATGTGGGTGCTGTATGTCTGTGGTGCTGTATGTGTGTGGGTGCTGTATGTGTGTGGGTGCTGTATGTGTGTGGGTGCTGTGTATGTCTGTGTGTGCTGTGTGTGTGCTGTATGTGTGGGTGTTGTATGTCTGTGTGTGCTGTGTGTGTGCTGTATGTGGGTGGGTGATTGTGGGGGTGGAGGTGGGGGTACATTAATTGCTATCCCCCCTCCCTTCTTACCTTTTGTAGGGAGGGGGGATCGTGCTGCTGATTCCATCCCTGGTGGTACAGTGGAGAGTTAACTCTAGCCCCCTGTGGGGCTAGAGTTCACTCTCGCGAGATTTGAGCGTTGCCATGGCAACGCTTATATCTCGCGAGAGGAACCCGGCGGAGCTGCCGGCAATAGCTCCGCTGGGTCCTCTCTTGCCTCCCTCCCTGCATGTGGGTCAGTGGGGAGGGAGGCTGAGAGCAGAGCCGGCGCTCTGATAGCGCCGGCTCTGCATGAGCCGACAGGGGAGATCCTGAGATCTCCCCTGCCGGTCTCAATATGCATAGGCGTGCCGCGGGGATTAGGGTGTGCCCAGGCACACCCGGCACACCCCGTGCGCACACCTATGGTTGTAGAAAGTTTTATTTTAAACCCGCGTTTCTCAAACCAGTCCTCAAGACCCACCAACAGTCCAGGTTTTGTTAGTATCTCCATTGGTATAAAACAGGGAAATACAAAAATCCTGGACTGTTGGCGGGCCATGAGGACTGGGTTGAGAACCACTGTTTTAAAATACGTATTTTTGTTCAATATATTCTATTTCTGTTTCTTTGTTATGACTAAAGTTTTATTTATTTACTAGTATTTTTCAGGTTTTTTTTTTTTTTTGTTTAAGATTGTGGCATTTGAAAGTCCAACTCTTGCATTATTAGTGATTTCAACATGTTTTCCAGTATTTCTCCATTTCTTTGTGATTGTGAAACTGACTGCTTCTAGACAGAGAGAATTTGTTCTGGAGTGAAAGCTGCCTTTCGTGTAAAAACTTTATTTATTTTTAGCATTTCAGAAAGATTTTATAATTTTATTCAAAAACAATAACTGTCAAATTCGAACAGTTTGACCCAATGTGTATGTAAATGGATGAAGGAATCTGTCATATACTAAAGGTAAGGATGCGTTTTTCAATTTTCTTTCTTTTTTTCTTCTTTTTTTTTTAACATATACTTCATTTAAAAAAACAACAATTTCCTTTCAAAACTTGAGAAATGGATTCTTATATTAATAGAACACTATAGTCACCTAAATTACTTTAGCTAAATAAAGCAGTTTTAGTGTATAGATCATTCCCCTGCAATTTCACTGCTCAATTCACTGTCATTTAGGAGTTAAATCACTTTGTTTCTGTTTATGCAGCCCTAGCCACAACTCCCCTGGCTATGATTGACAAAGCCTGCATGAAAAAAAAAACTGGTTTCACTTTCAAACAGATGTAATTTTCCTTAAATAATTGTATCTCAATCTCTAAATTGAACTTTAATCACATACAGGAGGCTCTTGCAGGGTCTAGCAAGCTATTAACATAGCAGGGGATAAGAAAATCTTAATTAAACAGAACTTGCAATAAAGAAAGCCTAAATAGGGCTCTCTTTACAGGAAGTGTTTATGGAAGTCTGTGCAAGTCACATGCAGGGAGGTGTGACTAGGGTTCATAAACAAAGGGATTTAACTCCTAACTGGCAGAGGATTGAGCAGTGAGGCTGCAGGGGTATGTTCTATACACCAAAACTGCATCATTAAGCTAAAGTTGTTCGGGTGACTATAGTGTCCCTTTAAAAGATAGTTATGAGTTATCACCTGTCCTTTATCCCCTTAAGGACACATGACATGTGTGATATGTCATGATTCCATTTTATTCCGGAAGTTTGGTCCTTAAGGGGTTAAATAGCTAGGGTTTTTAGTCTTTTGGTGGCTTGAGGCTTCCACGCTTGGCTCCATGTTCTCTCCCACGCTCTTACATGTCTGATCTTATTAACAGAGGCGTTGGGGGAAGTCCTAGATGCTTTACAGTCCCCAGCAGGCAGTGCCCGTCTAGAGGAAGCACGAGAAAGCTCTGGGAATGATCTGGGAAAGGTTCTTCAGCTACTACTGCCAACGGCTGTACAAATTCAACAAGATGTCCTGCAGAACTATGGATTCAGCCCTGATGGGGAGGGTAAGTAAATGAAGTGAATGAGTTAGGGGTAACATGGGCTGAGTGCCTTGAGGGGTAAGGAGTAAGTTTAAAGATGAGTGTATGGGAAGAAAAGGTTAAGGGTAATATGTGTAAGAAAGGGTTAATGTAGTGGACAAATGGGTAAATCCCCATCTGTTGCAGAAAAACCATCCCTAAGGAATCACAAAGCGTTGTTGGAGATGTGACTTTTACCCTCCTCTAGGGTATGTGTGAGATTATGCATGAGTGAATGTAGGGAATAGGATAGAGAGGATATAGGTTGAAAGGGTAAGATTGGAATACTGGGTAAAATATAGGGGGCTGGATATCTTAAAATATGTTAGGGGTGTAGTGCAACATGAGTGAATGGGATTGATTGGATGAAAGGTGACTGAATGGGGAAGAAAATTCTAAGATGGGTTGAAGGGTAAGTGTCTGAGGTAGATTGGGCTAGAGGTAGGTTGAAAGGTAAGCGTATGGAGGTAAAAGGGTGTGGAGTGGGTTGAAGGGTGAGTTGATGATGGTGAGTGAGAATAGGCTATGGGTGGGTAGATGAGGGAGTCTTTTGGGATGGCACAAAGGGGTCAGAATGTGAATGGCTACGAGGTGTATTTGAGGGAACTAAAAAGGGTAAACATTGCAATGTTTTCTCACCATCTGTAGGTGTTCTCAGGTTTGCTCGCCTTGTGAAGTCCTTTGAGTCTCAGGACCCCGAGATTGCAGCCATGTCCAACAAGCTGAAATCCTTCTTTCTGCCACCATTACCCCTTCCTCCACATGCCGGGCATCCAGTCCCATCATCCTGAACTCCGGATTAGCAAAGTATCTTCAAACTAGACTTTTTTTCTCCATTCCTGAGTCCCCAGCTGTTTCAAACCCTTCCCAGTCGTTTAAGTGTTAATATCTGTCCTATTATTAAATGTTTCTATTTATCTTCTGTACAGAATTGCATCTGTCCTTATAACCCTGATTCCAAACCGCCTTCGCAAAATCAAGGTTTGTTTTATACTGGGCAGGTTTGGATTGATATAGTATGGTGCAATAAAAAAAAAAAAAGCTGAAGTCTGTATATTGGTCTCACATACGATGCAGGGAAAGGATGTGATTGTTATATTAACTTCAGCAGGGTCCTATATTATGTAGCATGAGACTCTATGCTCCAGAAAGTTCATGAAAGTGGCAGTTCGGAGGTTAATTCCGCATTAGCAAACTCTCCTAGTGGCAGTGTAAGGACTGTGTTACTGAACATTGTTGAAAGGTATGTTTCATAATCCTATTGATTGTGCAGTGTCTGTTTGAGGCCATCATTACTTTTTTCTTTGGTAATGACAGTGTGTGAGCTAATGCTCTGTAATGGGGTGGGCTGTAATATTTCACTTGCCTCTAATGGTTGAGCTTAGCTGTACAAAATTTCATTTCCAAAAAGTGGAATATTCAATAGCACATTAGTGCGCTTTTATTAACTGCTGGATAGCCACTAGGGGGCTCTATTGGGTTTTTAAATTATATCATGCATCAATTACTCAAACTCATTACTCTAACTGGAACCCCTTGGTTAGCACATAGATTTCTTTCCTGCAGCAAATTTATGATTCTTGAGGGAGCATTCTTCATGCACTGTCCATCAGTATGTAGATGTGATGGCAGATTTGATAGTCCTAGTTTTTCCAGTGATTAGGACATTGCTACTTACCATCTATTGGTAGCTGTCTACAGAAGGATGTGCTTGTCTCTTGGTTTTACTTGTAAATGCAAATCACAGTTTCACAACAGTGAAGACTGTTCATTTTCTTCACTTCCTAATACGTGGTTTCCTCAGGATTGTCCAAAAAACACGCTGGAATACGTCAATGCTGACTTGACTGTTCATAATTTAGAGAGACGTTGGGCAAGAACTACAGAAGTAGCAGTAATAGAATAATTGGGACTATCGCCATGGAAACCAGGCCAATGTTACTCAAATTGTAGAATGATGCACATTTTATTCTATTGGAAAGACTCCTGTAAATCTTATTGTATCTTCTTATACAGAACTGATTTGTTAAAGGGGCCAGGAGTGCCCAGCAGGCCTCAGGTAAGGTGTCATACCTTACACAAACAATCTTACTACTTACAGTAGGAAGCGCCAAGGCACTACGGACATCATAACCACTACAGCACACTGTAGAGGTTATGGTGCTGGGAATGTTACTTTTACAGATAAAATGTATCGGCGTCGGTTTTCCAGCTCACTCAGTTTTGCAGGTTGTACATTGTGCGGGATCATTAATATGGCTACATGGTATCGTGAATTTCCACTCGTTGCTCTGTGCACTGCTTATTTTTCATTGTTTATATGCTGGTCTATTTATTACACACACTGCATAGTTTACTCACCTGACTACGTTTATTGTACTGTCTGTATTAAGCATATTGTATATCCCACATTTTACATGCACTGTGCACATTCCACTCTCTGTTCTGTGTGTTGCATTGCATGTTCTACTGTCCAATTTTTTTGGCTTTACTCAATGACACATCGCAAACACCCACTAAGATATACACTTTCATTGCATATGCACCCAAAACACACACACATTCAATGCAGATAATGTACAAGTGGTGGTGGCAGCATGATTGTTAAATGGTCATTCCATAATAGGTCCCCCCCCCCTTATTGTAATTTAGGGCTCCCACCTGCAGCTCATTGGTTGGGGGCGGACAATAGGTCTCTCCCTCCCCTCCCCCTCCATTGACATTTAGGGCCCCCATCCGCCGCTTGGGGGATGGGGGGGGCTTCATCTACCCACACAAAGATTGCGGCGCCAGGGACCTAAGTCCGGGGGGGGGGGTGAGGAAGGGGATGGATGCAGCCATGACAGTGCCACTTTAATTTAATTTTAAAAAGTGTCAATTTCTATGAAAATACGCACTTTTTGCAAAATGAAAAGAAGAGGACACACTCTTCACACATAAAGCTGAAATGCTTAAGGGATCTGGAGAGTCCCTTTAGCCCTGCATACTTTGTGAGTTAACCTGGTGCTTAGTCGGTATGTTGTTCGACAAGGTGAGTCTCGGGTGGCTCAGTTTACCTATAGCATCCCTAATTTGGGGAATTTCCTAGTGGAGGAGGAGGAAACGTGTCCTTATTAATAAAATGTTTGCAGTAAAATGTACAAAAGCAGTAACGAAATGCCTGGGAGTAGAATAAAAAAAACAAAAAAAAATTACTATGTGTATATCTTTTTGGTGTTTTACACACTCTCTCTGCTTTTTGTATTACATACTCTAATACTCTTATCTGTCTCCCTCTGTATTACACACTATCGACATTGTTTATTATTATTTTATTGCTGATAGAGCGCCAGCAAATTCCATAGCGCTGTACAATATTTACTAAAGGTGCCACTAAAGTGAGAATTGTCAAATTCAAAGTGAATTTCTAATTTAAGACGAATATAGCCAAATGTGAAGCACTTCTCACTTTATTAAAAAACCCAGTTTGTGATCAGTGGCCCTCTGGGAAGTGTTACAATTATCAGCAGAAAATAATCACAAGTCAATAAATGTTAAAGGTTTTACTATTAAAAAAATGATTAAGACAAGCATGGAAACATGCCCTACGTATATCCCAGCCTCCCCTCTGTATATCGCACTTTCTGCTATCTGTTTTGCACACTGTATATCCGACTCTCTGCTCTGTGTATCCCAGCCTCCCCTCTGTATATTGCACATTCTGCTATGTGTTTTGCACACTGTATATCCGACTCTCTGCTCTGTGTATCCCAGCCTCCCCTCTGTATATTGCACATTCTGCTATCTGTTTTGCAAACTGTATATGTGTATCCCAGCCTCCCCTCTGTATATTGCACATTCTGCTATCTGCTTTGCACACTGTATATCCGACTCTGCTCTGTGTATCGCCGCCTCCCCTCTGTATATTGCACATTCTGCTATCTGTTTTGCACACTGTATATCCTACTCTCTTCTCTGTGTATCCCAGCCTCCCCTCTGTTTATTGCACTTTCTGCTATCTGTTTTGCACACTGTATATCTGACTCTGCTCTGTGTATCCCAGCCTCCCCTCTGTATATTGCACATTCTGCTATCTGTTTTGCACACTGTATATCTGACTCTCTGCTCTGTGTATCCCAGCCTCCCCTCTGTTTATTGCACATTCTGCTATTTGTTTTGCACACTGTATATCTGACTCTGCTCTGTGTATCCCAGCCTCCCCTCTGTGTATTGCACATTCTGCTATCTGTTTGGCACACTATATATCTGACTCTTCTCTGTGTATACCAGCCTCCCCTCTGTATATTGCACGTTCTGCTATCTGTTTTGCGCACTGTATATCTGACTCTGCTCTGTGTATCCCCGCTTCCCCTCTGTGTATTGCACATTCTGCTATCTGTTTGGAACACTGTATATCTGACTCTTCTCTGTGTATACCAGCCTCCCCTCTGTATATTGCACATTCTGCTGTTTTGCACACTGTATATCCGACTCTGTGCTCTGTATATCCCAGCCTCCCCTCTGTATATTGCACATTCTGCTATCTGTTTTGCACACTGTATATCCGACTCTGTGCTCTGTATATCCCAGCCTCCCCTCTGTCTACTGCACATTCTGCTATCTGTTTTGCACACTGTATATCTGACTCTCTGATCTGTGTATGCCAGTCCCTTCTCTGTGTATTTATGGGGGTGGCAGTGCAGTCATGTTTTGTATACTGTTCCCCTGGGGGAGTCTGGCACATTTAGGGTGTGGCCAACAATTCTTGCTAGATTTATGTTTAAAAAAAATGTCTGTACCCTAGATTCACTTTGTTGTTTAATTGCCTTGGGCCCTAATAGACATTTTCCACACTCTGAATGCTTTAAATCTTATACATATAGAGGGATGCTCACTAAATTGTGCAGTCCGGACAAGTGGATGTTTTAGGCTAAAAATGACCATGCTGCTAAAATAGCTCAGTTCTGCACTTTGTCTCCCTGCTAAATGTGTGTATTTCACTGCATTCTGTCTGTGTGCGCCTATATCCCTTCATTCTGTCTGTGTGCGCGTATATCCCTTCATTCTGTCTGTGTGCGCGTATATCCCTTCATTCTGTCTGTGTGCGCGTATATCCCTTCATTCTGTCTGTGTGCGCGTATATCCCTTCATTCTGTCTGTGTGCGCGTATATCCCTTCATTCTGTCTGTGTGCGCGTATATCCCTTCATTCTGTCTGTGTGCGCGTATATCCCTTCATTCTGTCTGTGTGCGCGTATATCCCTTCATTCTGTCTGTGTGCGCGTATATCCCTTCATTCTGTCTGTGTGCGCGTATATCCCTTCATTCTGTCTGTGTGCGCGTATATCCCTTCATTCTGTCTGTGTGCGCGTATATCCCTTCATTCTGTCTGTGTGCGCGTATATCCCTGCATTGTGTCTGTGTGCGCGTATATCCCTGCATTGTGTCTGTGTGCGCGTATATCCCTGCATTGTGTCTGTGTCCGCGTATATCCCTGCATTGTGTCTGTCGGCGCGCGTATATCCCTGCATTGTGTCTGTCGGCGCGCGTATATCCCTGCATTGTGTCTGTCGGCGCGCATATATCCCTGCATTGTGTCTGTCGGTGCGCATATATCCCTGCATTCTGTCTGTCGGCGCGCATATATCCCTGCATTCTGTCTGTCTGCGCGTATATCCCTGCATTCTGTCTGTCTGCGCGCATATATCCCTGCATTCTGTGTGTGCGCGCGCATATATCCCTGCATTCTGTGTGTGCATATTCCTGCATTCTGTTTGTGAATGTGTGTATGTATCTCTGCACTATTTGGGGGGAGGGAGGTGCATGTATATTCCTATACTCTGTTCTCTAGGATTAATTCAGTAAATTATGAATTGGAAAGCCGATTTGTGAAATTTGGGTTAAAATAGCCATGCTCTCACTGTACCTGAGTAGGTTAGATTCAGATCGGATAATTTTGCCTGCATTTACCAGCTGGTTTTCACTTATCTACAATGCACTGTTTAATGAACAAATCCTCATTCTCTAGCTATTGTGCGTATGTCTCTGTACTGTGTTCTCCACCCTGCAGTGTCTATACTGTGTGTGTTTTTTTTATCTTTGCTCTGTGCTCTCTCCAGAGCCCAGCCTATTGTGTGTTTGTCCTGCATTGTATTTCTCAGCCTGCTGGGGTTTATTCAGTAAACACCAAATTTCAGTGAGTTAAAAACTGAATCTCCAAATTCAGGCAAAAATAGTCAAGCTGCGACTGCAGCAAATTTCAAGATTTTTGGAACGCAGTTTTCAAAAGAATATAGTTTGTGGTTTATTGAATAAATCTTTCAGGGTTATTTACTAAACTGAGAATTCAAAGTGAATTTTAAAATTTTCAAAAAAGCTATACTGGAAAGCTTCTCTGCCCATAAATTTGAAATTCACTTTGAATGCTGAGCTTAGTAAATATGCACTGTATATGTGTGCATCCCTGTAATATGTCCCCCCAGACATCTGTGTATTCAACCCTGTGGTGTATGAATGCTTAACTCTGCGTTGTGTTCCGCTGCATTCTGCAAGGTTATGGCCTCGCATTGTGTGTTTAACTTGAACTGCGTTTCCCAGATCGTTTGTTGCTACATTGTGTTCCCAACCTATTGCGTGCAACATTGCGCTGTGTTCTACAGCTGGCTCTGTGCATGTGTGGCCATGCAATTAGGGATTTGACAGACAATTGTAGTTCTATAGATTTCTGTTTTAGTTGATTTAAAAAATGACAACATGTGGTATGAAAGACAATATGCAGATAATTGATCTATGTCATTATATTACTATGTTTTACAAATACAATAGGGTTTGTGATTGTGAAATATTTGATTGGACAGAAGCTGATATTTATTTAGTCACGTGTTGGATTACATTTTAAAGGTAGTAACAGTCGGTTGTCTACTCTAATAATCCTAGTGTAGAAATCTGAGCATAGACCAGCGATCTAGGGGACTAAATGTATATAAAATTATTTGATTTTTATTAGGGGGTGTATACATTTAAGTAGTATACCACTCTAATGTTGGAATACATCTTTGTCCCTTTAATATCCTGCTTTGCCTCCTCCTGGATTATCCTTGCAGGATTAAAAAAAGGTCAGTGCAGAGCTGTGCTCATTGGCTGTGAGTAAGGCCGTATATCGGTCTTGCTTAGCTCAGTGAAGACATCTGGTGCCTGGGGGTTTGACAAATTATTCTGAGTGAGTGGCAGTAGTGGTTATGATGCTTGGAGTGTTCATTTATGGATAAATAATAACTTCTCGCCGTGGCTGTCCGAGCATCTGCTTAGACGGATTTCAGTGGAGCTCCACATCTACTCAGCGTTAAAGCCGACTTTATTACAGTCACAAGCTCCACAGAGACCTTTGCACAATCTCACCCCCCCCCTTAAGAAGACATTATGGGGCACAAGCACCGAAAGTTTAATCCGCCTGGTCTTCCCAAATTGCCAGATATGTCTACACTGCCAGCACCTCCCAAGATGACTAATGCTACAAGGTCTGTGGAGGAGGCCTCAAAGTAGTCCCTGGAGGATAAGGAGTTATTTACCTCTCCCCGGCAGAGTAAAGTTTATCAGTAGGCATATAAAAAAAGCTGCCCCTGACAGGCCAAAGCAGTGCGACTGGACGGCATGTTCCGAGTGCTGAAACCGATGACAGCACTGACTGCAGCACATTTGGACCTAATAATCCGTGCAGCTGCACGGGGGAAGACTCCTCTATCATTTGAGGGTGCCAGAAGCACCATAGGGTGGCGTAAGACCCTGCAACCGCTCTTACAACTGCTCAGCAATAAGAGCATCCAATGCAGATGGGGGACCCCAAATCTGATTTCATTCACACATCAGGGAACGACATACCGAGCTCCGACTTACTAGGAACTGGACCCACACCTATGTGCAGCGGGCCTGATCTCAACTCCACGCGTAGAGGGGACAAACCTCTCCCGACTGAACCCTTCTACAGTGGTCGAGTTCACTCCACGGCATCCAGGCGATTACCACCTCCACGAGAGGAGACCTGAGTGGCTATAACAGAGAGGAATATCTGAAGTACCAAGGGACTGCCAAGACTGCAACTCCCCCACCCCCCCCAGAAGTAGCTTGAAGCTAATAATGCTCTGCTCTGTTCCTTTACGATTTCTTCATTGTTTATAGATGATCTCTTTTCTGTTTCCTTATTATTATTGCCATTTATATAGCGCCAACAGATTCTGTAGCGCTTTACAATATTATGAGAGAGGGGATTTAACTATAAATAGGAAAATTACAAGAAAATTTACTGAAACGATAGGTTGAAGAGGACCTTGCTAAAACGAGTTTACAGTCTGTAGGATTATATATTTTCTGTTCTCTGATGATCGTATGGGTCCCATAGACCTAATTAACATTTACTCAGTACACCCTCATGTACCTTGGACTTACCATCCTATTTCTTGGTATACAGCACTCTATTTATACCTGTTCATCCCCCTCCCCCACTGACACCAGATGGCATATTTCATTACACACGTAGCATCAGGTGTGTGGTGACTCCCTGCTGGGGACTAATATACCCTACTGAGTACCTAAACCCTATGTTGTACCTTTCATTTCTGTCAAGGGACCTATTAGCTGAACTATTACTGTCTACCGTGTACCTTATATCAAACACGTTACACAAGCTTTCCTTATATGACTCCTTGATTTAATACCACAATTTACATGTCTATTTCTCATCCCAGCTATGGCACTCCCTCTAACTTAATCTGCATCTAGACATGACTGGCACACACAATGAAACTACTACTGTATCTTTTTTTTTTTTTTTTTTTTTTTTTTTTTTTTTTTTTTTTTTTTTTTTTAATTCTTTATTTTTCGTGCATAGGTTAGGTAAGTAACAGTTTTCTAGCGATGCCACAACAACTATCGCCAGGAGTTTGGTAGACATATAAATACATTTGTATGGCAGGAATAACTTGCACATTTTTATATTTGTATGAGCAGGGTGGTTAATGGTCTAGCACTGTGCCAACGGGCGTGTGAGAGATTATGTTCGGAAGGGGACCTTCAGGTTAGGGAGCAAGGGCTAGTGTGCGTAATGGCCACCATGCGAGATTCCTGTTAAGTATAGACTTGCGTCTGGGTATTATCTGACTGGTCGATATGATAGTGCCTGTCTAAGCCACGGGTAGGCTTTGCTTTAAAATTCACACTGCCTAGTCGCCTTTTATCTTAGGTGTATGTGTCCATTGGTTCTCACAGACTGGGATTAAACTATGCTTCTGGAGTAAATTTGGCTAATGCTGTCAGTTCAGATTGACCCTCCAAGTGGACACCTGTATGGAGATCGGTACCTACGGCTTTCTAACCGTATTTGGCCATTTGGAGAGTAGTTCGCCAACCATCCAGTCCACTCCCCCTTCGAGCAATCCCATGAGTACAATTTTGTTTGCAAATGGGTGGAGGTAGGACAGGAAAGCTGCCAGCTGTTGACCCCTCCAAATCACCTAGGCCACCCTATCCAGGTTGTGAACTGTGTACCCCAGATTTATTATGCATAATGCTTAAAACCTTTTTTATTGTTAGATTCAGAATGCTAAGTCTATCTGTGTTGTTACCTAGTGGTCTGTGGTGTTAGTCGGGTAGTCGTGAGAGTATCTTGTCAGGAGGCCTTGTCCTTGGTCCGTACGAGTTACTCTCGAGGGGTATTAACCCTAACCTAGGGGCTGTCGGGGGGGGAGTTGTGTTCTGTCTGGTAGTGCATATTACTTTAGTGCACTGGTGTGCCAGCGCCAACTCTGATAGGCTTTCAGCGCGTCATATGGGTTCTTAGAGCGTCATAGTGACTAGTAAGATATCAACATAGCTTAAGTGGCAGAGGATGAAAAGGAATAGGAGAAAAAACTTTTAAAGAAAAGAAAATTAGCAATTTTTAGCCCTTGAGCGGGGCGGGGTAGGAGACTTCTCCCCCCACTCCCGTCATGTGGCGTGAGTGTCCATTCTCCGCGTCCTCGGGATAAACGGCTCGATCGTCCCCGGGTCCCAGGCCGGGGTGGTGTTCTGGGTGTTCTTGGATGGCAGACCCAGCTTTGGTAGTAGTGCGGCAGCGTCGGGACCTGTAGCAATTCTGTACGTGTTTCCTTGATGTGTGACCAGGAGGTGGCGTGGGTTTCCCCACCGATATGGTATGCCCGCGGAGCGTAACTGGCTGGTGAAGTCGCTAAGGGTCTTTCGCCATTGGAGAGTGGCTCTGGTTAAGTCCTGGAAAAAAGTCAATTGAGACTCCTCGAAGTTGAGTGGCGTCTTGCCCTTGAGTGCCGACATTATGTGTCCCCTATCTTGGGGAAGGGTGCAGCGGACTATGACGTCTCCTGCAAGGGGAGTAGATGCTTTTGTCGGTATATGCCGGCAAGGGTGAGTTTCCTTGCCACCGCAGGGGGAAGTATAGCTTGCGTGAGCTGTCTCACATAGTGAGGTAGGTCCTCTTTGGAGACTGTGCCAGGGATTCCTCGGATTTTAATGTTGTTGCGTCTGTGTTTGTCTTCTTGGGCTGCTAGTTGTACCTCTAAGTTTTGTTGATTGTGTTGTAGTTGTAAGAGGGAGTCTTGCAGCGAGGTGATTTCTCTTTGAATCCCCTGCACTTCTCTCTCAGTGTGCACTACCTTTTCAGTGATTTGTTGCATGCTGGTTTTAAGGGTAGGTAGATCTGCAGCTAGTAGGCTTTGTATTTCCTGCAGCATGTTTTGCATATGCTGTAGGTCCTGTTTGGTGGCTGGTTCGGTGGTACCCTGCTGGGGTGTGGGTTGTAGCCATGTAACCCCATGAGTGCTTTGCTCCCCTGAGGCAGAGTCTTGTGGGGAGTCAGGGCCTTGTGCGGCCGCCATTTTGGCGGGTGTTTGTCTCTGAAGCATAATGCCTATATCAGGCTGATCTATACCTGGTGGTGGTTTCTGGAATCTGCGCCCCATCCCTGAGGTTCCTTGGTCGGAGCTGTGCCGAGATGTGTCCCACGCGTCCTCCAGGAAGTCCCCGCCTGATAGGTAATCCAGGCCGTGGTGGGCTGATGGGAGGTAGGCCCGGGCTCGTAGTTTAGGCTTTGCCTGCTTCGGGGTGTACCTGAAGGGAATCGATCGATTCCGGGGGATCTCCCCCGTATTATGCCGGTGGTCGTGTGGCTGGATGGCAGGTTTGTGGGCTGATTTTCGCCAGATTAGGTCCGTGGATGTCGGAGCCCACAGAAATGGCGTCTGGCCCGTCTCGCTTCCAGGCTCCGCCCCTACTACTGTATCTTTTAAAATGAAAACTGTGCTTTTGTTACCTTTGCCATACCAATGTTTATATTTGTTTATTAATATGCCTATACCTGCTTTTGTGGCATTGTTTACACAACAAAAATTAGAAAAAGAATTATATATAAAAAATAAAATAAGGAAGCTGCTCCTGGATTTGTGCGGAAGGCCGAGCTCCAGAAAGCCCAAAAGGAGATGGGAGCTATCCAACAGAAGATCAAAGAATGGAGGAGAGAGAGAAAAGCTCAGGACAACCATCTACAGACCACTAAGACCCACCTGGAGGGACTTGCCCAACAGGTCCAACGATTACACTGAGTGGTGACCCCAATGGAATCCCAGCATAGGTGTAATATCCACCTGCGGGGAATATCAGAGGTGGTAAAGGGAGAAGCATTACTGCCCTATACTTAAAGGCTTGTCGCTTCTATGGGCCTAAAAGAAGGAGCAGATCCCTCCATGCTACTTATAGCATTCCGTGTACGCAAGGCTGCAACAGCTCCGTCTGAAGCACCCAGTGACACAATTATTGTTACCAGAGACATAGCAGGGCGACCTGCCATTATGGCCCGATCCAGATTGCCGAGTAGTATGAAGTTTGAAGATTGTGACATTCTTCAGTGGACGTGTAAAAAAACTTAATAAAATATAAAGTTTAAAAAAAAATAACTTCTCTGGGTTCTGGAGACATTAATATACCACATTCTTGAGATTTATCACAATGGTGAAATTAATTTCACATCATAAATTAGCTCCAATAAATATTTACACAAAAGAGGAGTAGCCATTCATAACATGCAGGTAATGGTATGTATTTCTAAAACAGTTTTAATGTTGCAATCTAATGCTACAATTATTTTTTTCCAACATCAATTTACACTCAATACCCCATAATGACAAATCAAACAAAACAATATTTTTGAAACTTTGCAAATGTATTAAAAAGAAGAAACCCCACCCCCCAAAACATCTCACTTTCACTGGATCATCTTTGAGATGTGTCTATTCTTTGATTGGATATGATTCACACACCTCTCTCTATAAGGTCTCACCGTAAATACATATCAGAGCACAAACCAAGCCATGAGGTCAAAGGAACTCTGCAGAGCTCAGAGACAGGATTGTGTAGAGGCACAGATCTGAGGAAGGCTACAAAAAAATGGCTGCATTGAAGGCTCTCAAGAGCACAGTGGCGTGCATAATTCTTAAATGGAAGAAGTTTGGAACAACCAGGACTCAATCAGGGGAAAAGGGCATTGGTAACCAAGAAACCATTGGTGACTCTAAGCTTCAGAGATCGTGTGTAGATGAGAGCAACTTGCAGAGGCTGAGCTATCGCTGCCGCACTCCACTGATCTGGCCTTACGGCTTACTAGCAAGAAAGTAACCTATACGTATAAGGGGGTACACTGGCGTTGTGGCAGTATTATGCTATGTATGACCATGTGCTGTAACTAAATCCCCATTATTTTTATGTCAGGTGTATAAAATTGAAGAATAAACAAATATTAAACTTTGTGAGCTTTGAAGTTGGCATTTAGTAAGTGAGTGGATCTTGTGTGCTATATAAATATATAACAAGTACTATATAAATAAAATATGTTGCACTTACTGTACCTTTCTCTACTGTAAACCTGTAAAGTGCTAAGTACACCTGTTATTGCTTTATAAATAATATATACATACACTGTAAACCTACCTCTACTGTAATGTAACTGGTAGAGCAGTAAGTATACCTATTAGTGCTATATAAACAAAATATACATACACTGTATACCTACTGCACTTACTGTACCTCCTACTGTAATGTAACCTGTAAAGTGCTGAGTACACCTGTTACTGCTTTATAAATAATATATACATACACTGTATACCTATTGCACTTACTAAACCTACCTCTACTGTAATGTAACTGGTAGAGCAGTAAGTATACCTATTAGTGCTATATAGACGATATATACATACACTGTATACCTACTGCACTTACTGTACGTCCTACTGTAATGTAACCTGTAAAGTGCTGAGTACACCTGTTACTGCTTTATAAATAAAATATACATACACTGTATACCTATTGCACTTACTGTACGTCATAATGTAATGTTTAATGTAGCACCTGTTAGTGCTACATTAAAAACACACTGTATACCTACTGCACTTACTGTACCTCCCTCTACTGTAATGTAACCTGTAGAGTTCTAAGTACACCTGTTAGAGCTACGTAAATAAAATACAGACTGTATGTCTACTGTACCTCCCTCTATTGTAATGTAACCTGTAAAGTGCTAAGTACACCTGTTAGAGCTACGTAAATAAAATACAGACTGTATGCCTACTGTACCTCACTCTATTGTAATGTAACCTGTAAAGTGCATGCCTGTGTTTCTGTCCCTGCACTGTGTGTGTAGCTAGTTTGAAGTTACACAATGTCTGAAGTGACCTGTGAAAAAGAGAAGTGGAAACACAGAACAAGAGCTTCCTGTGCTAGGGACAGAAAGAGCGAGAGGGGAGGACAGAGAGAGAGACAGAGTGAGGCAGAGTGACACAGGTAGAGAGAGTGAGACGGTTTAGGAGAATGTGAGAATCTGAGAGATCGTTTGTTAATTCTGCAGGGAGTCATTGTAACAGGAGATCTATTGAGAAGGATAAGGAAATAGATCTGTAACAGCTTTCTGAACTTGTGAGTGAGAGAAGGAAGAAGAGAAAGAGGAACAAACTAGCAGGAGATACACACTGCACAGAGACGGACAGACTTCAGCTGAAGACACACACACAAGACCTGCAGAATGGTCAGGTGAGAGCTCAGAACGTGTCTCTGACTGTCAGTAACTAAAGTCTCATGTTCTCTCCCTGTCTCCTACCTGTTCTACTCGAGAGAATGTTATTATTTTTTTTTTGTCTAGGTTTGTAAATACAGTATCTGACAGTTGCTTGTTTCAAATTGCCAGCAGATCTCTCTTTAGGCTGCTGGGTGATCTCAACAGACTGTTTCTATATTCTACTTAAACTGCTGGGTGATCTGACGAGAATGCGGGGTGATCTATTTAGACTCCTGTGTGATAAGTATAAGTTAATAATCCATAGAGACATGGGCTGCAGATAACCCTGTGTTATGCAAGTTGTGCCATGTTCGTGAATGACTCACGTAGAACTAATCCTCGCTACACCAATATCAACACGGGCAGGCCATGTGTAGCTGTTACTCTAGCGTAGACCCACTAGTTAAAGTTCTGTTACTCTGGTGTGGCTTCACAGTATGTGTTCCAGTTACTGCAGGGCAATTCAGATGTTGCCTTCTTACCCAAACGTTGATATGTTAGATGTAGCCTAGTTAACCCTGTCTGTACATGCTAGATGTAGCCTAGTTACCTCAGAGTGGACAGATTACATTAGCCTAGTTACCCCAGAGTGGACATGTTAGATGTAGGCTAGTCACCCCGAAGTGGACATGTTAGATATAACTTAGTTACCCCCGTGGGCAGACTATATGTAGCCTACATACTTCAGCGTGGGCTGATCAGATGTACCTTCGTTACTACTGTCTGAGACGTTACTTAGTTACCCCAGTGTTGACTGTTCAGGTGTGGCCTACTTACCTCAGCGTGGATAGATCAGATGTTGGCCTAGTTACCTCAGCGTGGACAGATCAGATGAAACATAGAATGTGACGGCAGATAAGAACCCTTCGGCCCATCTAGTCTGCCCAATTTTCTAAATACTTTCATTAGTCCCTGGCCTTATCTTATAGTTAGGATAGCCTTATGCCTATCCCACGCATGCTTAAACTCCTTTACTGTGTTAACCTCTACCACTTCAACTGGAAGGCTATTCCATGCATCCACTACCCTCTCTCTTATTTTTAAACCTTTTGTCCCTCTAATTTAAGACTATGTCCTCTTGTTGTGGTAGTTTTTCTTCTTTTAAATATAGTCTCCTCCTTTACTGATTGATATTTCTGTATGATCTCAGTAATTTCACAGAAGCCTTTATGGTTCGATTTAGACAAATAGTTGCAGCAAATATCCTTTGTAGTTTGTTTCTGAATTTGAAACGGGTTGAGAAGAAAACGAGTATTGAAAATTTTCCAAGAGATCAATAATATTTGGGATTGTTAAAACCATCAGTGTCATTTGAGGACACCATGTACAGAGATTGCCCCATTATCTCTAGATGTGTCTACTTACTTCCGTGTGGACAGATCAGATGTGTCCTACTTACCACAGCATGGACAGCTGGGTGGTCCGAAATTTGTCTATGTGGTGTTTCATTTCAGATGAATTTCAACCATGCAAACGATTTAGAAAAAACTAAAGATAGAGAAAATGGGGCAATCCGTGTACAGGAATATATACATAATATAGGTATTATCTAATTATTTTTGAGTTCACTGGTATACACATATTCCTGCCATTTGGTAATAGATGAAGTGAGAAGTAACCATTTGAGGGAAAAAAAGGAAACACCAAAAAAATATATATACATTTACAGCATATATTTTATATATATAATTTTTATAACTGCTCCTTCCTTTTCCATCTATTGGTCATTTCTATGTAATCTGTGAATAAAATCAATACATTGTGGCTTTCCCCGAACCACCAGTCAACTTTTTTTTGCGTTATGGGTGGAACTTCGAATCACAAAACAAATAAAACGGCTCATTCATTGTCTGTTTCGTTTGCTTTGTGATATGCCCATATGCTGTTTTGAAGTTATGAGAGTTGGGTAATCCACCGATCTCCCAAAATTCGGTTGAATTGCAACTAGTTGGCAACTAAATAACAAAACATCAAGGCCAGATGTAGCCTATTTTTATAGTGTGCATACCAGTGGTTTCCTATTTACCCATGTCTGGACAGGCCAATTCTAGCCTTTGTTTTACTACTTTGGGCAGCCCAGGTGTAATTTAGGTGTCTCACAGTGGACTTATTTGATGTAAGTTTGGATACATCAGATGAACACTTGTTACCCCTGACTTTGTCACCTGGATGTGCATGTTCTTGATGTATTCTAGTTAGTTTTTGATTTCTGCAAAACAGAAAAATTTATTTTGGCCAAACCACTTCATGCCATAAAATGTACAAAAATCCAGGATGGCAGAATTTTGTGCGTGTGGTAGTTCATCTCAACGGAATTTGGCCGTCTGAAAAAGATTTGTGTTAAGGGCACAAAATGTTATGTTTCTAATTTTTTTCCCAGTACGTAAGTAAGCATATTTTCCCGCCATCTAGTTCACGGATGAAGTGAGTAAAAGTAACCAATAGAGAAAATAAGAAGAGCTGTAATAAATCTATACATTTATTAAATTATAGAAATATAGATTTTTTTTAAAATTCAGATCTGTGGATAAATCAACATTTAGTGAAGGTCCCCATATCATCAACCATAATTTTTTTCCATTTCCATTCATTCCTAATTTTTTCGCGCCTTGGGGCGGGCATTGCATTATAACTCAAATGTCCATTGTGCTATTAGTTAATTTCTTTATTAGTGTATACGGCCGTTCAGAAATTGGCAATTTGTATGATCACCCAGTCAGCCCAAATTCAGTCGAATTTCAGTTTGTAACTAAATAAATCTCCAAGTCTAGTTATTTTGAGTTTAACACAAAAAAAAAAAAAAAGGCAAATTGTGCTTTAAGGTAGCATTTCAGGACTCGTGGTGTGGTAAATGCTTCCTCTTTTATTAGCATTAAGGAATTGATCTATTCAAACTATTCAGTTGCATTTTAATGTTGTCAGCTAAAACGAGACCTGTTCAATTCTTTAATTCGGCTCCAAAATACTGTTTTGTATCAGTTCAGAATGTGACATTACTTAAAAAAAATTTTTCACATAAACACTTGTTTACGAATTTCACTGTAATCTCTACAGTTATTTACACACCTATAATCATTCAACTGTTTTACTTTAAAATCTCATAATCTATATAGCTATGTATTTAGGATTAAATAGAAAAATGATCTTCTATAATCTCAGCTTGTTTTTTTTTTTGGCTAAGTTCTGCAATTTGTATATTACAAATATAATTACAAAAAGTTGATGTTTAGGAAGTAAACCCCTTTCTATTTCTAAGTTCCAAGTTGTTTTTTTATGCAATGTATAGGGTTATTAAGTAAATTGTTTAAAAAAATACAGAGAAAAAGCCAAATTGCAAGAATCCATCTAAAAAAAATAAAATAAAATTCGAATTCTAGCTTAACTAGAGAATTCAGCTATTTTAACCCACGCTTTTGCAGCTTAATTTTCAAATCACCACAAATCATCACTGAATGAACAAACACTGAAGTGATTCAAACATGATTAAATCAGATGTAATCACCTAATATTCTATGGAAAAAAAGACCAAAAAAACCCTATTTATTAAGAAAGCACACAGTGTGTTAAACCAATACCAACATATAACAGAGTAAGTGTTTTCTAACTTGAAGGGACACTATCGTTACTGGAACACTACAGCGTAATGTAGTTGTTCTGGTGTCTATAGCATGTCCCTGCACACTTTTCAATGTAAACCCTGCCCTTACATGGCAGTTTTTACATTGCTGGCTAGTAACATCTCTAGTGGCAGTCACTCAGTCAGCCACTAGAGGTGCTTCCTGTGTCAGTGCTCAACTGTGTGCAGCACCTACGTTAAGCGTCTCCACACTCTGCATGGAGTCACTGAACGCTAACCATCAAGATGCGTTGATTCAATGCATCTCTATGAGGAGATGATGGTTGGCGCAGCACAGCGATTTGCTGGCGATGCATGATAGCCTCCCAATGCTTTCCTAAGATGATCTTAGCCAAGGAGGCGGACCCAGCGCAGCATAGGCGAAAATATGAGTTTAATACCTTTTCATGTAGTTTAACAATAAAGTATTAGGAATACATCTTTGTTTGTGTTTTGTAGTGTTCCTTTAAACCTGAAGACTAAAAGGCATTTAGGTGATTGGAAAACACATGTTGGGGATTATGTATAAATAATTTTTTGTTTTTGCAAAAGGTTTTCTGTAAATGAAAATGTTGCGGTTGTGACTCAGTTGGTGCAGTGGTCAATTGCTAGTGAATACATTGCTCCAAAATTAAAACCAAAAAGTGTGGCAAAAGATATAAATAAATAAAATTGGTTCAAACATGTCCTCCCCCCCCCAACATTTTTTTTTATTTTTTAAATAAAAATCGTTATGCAGACAATGCTGGCATTTAAAAAAACTAATTGTTCTTTATCATTTTGGCCAACTGATTGTGTTAAAAAAGAGATGGAAAATTGTGTTGTTTATTTCTGACCACTGTGGCAGGCTTTTCGTGACTGGTGCAAATGTTTAAAACATAGAGTTTCTGCAGAGTATTCCACCAACTTCCTAATTGTAAAAATAACTAGCCTATTTTAGTCTACAATTTGCAACTGGCTCCTAAGTCCACTAAAGCTCAGTGTTTAATGAAAAAATCTTTTCTATGAAACTTATCAGTAAGAATAAATTCTAGTTGCGCCTGGAGCCGATCCACTCACCATTGGCTGAGAGTACCAGCTGATCCCTCTCAGCCAACGAATCACACAAAGTGTATGAAAATTTGCCCAGAATTTACATTAGCCAGCCCGACACTGCCAGAGGTGCCGTTACATTATCTTACAGAGTAAAGGGCTGCTGGTCCTGCTTTATGTACTGAGGATATCCAATCTGACATCATTCTCCTAGTGCCGCCGTGCAGGAGTGAAAAGGGGGCTGCTTGCGTCCTCACATTTGTTCACCTATTTTTATACATCGTTTGTGACAAAATTCCAGAACAGTTCCTAATTGAGTTATTTATTTTGGGCAGGTGACATTCTGCTACTTCTTTACTGAGGGTTACATTTTGTAAATAAGCAGAAATTCTAACGGTAAATTTTAGTACATAGCCCTCTTGTTTATTTCTGCTTCCTGTATATTGTGCCTGTATTATTGTCTGCACATAAAGAGTTAATGCAAAGTGAGCAAAGCAAGATGCCCAATATGCAAATGTGACCTTTCCCTGTCTTTATATAATTTATTTAATTTTGCTTCATTTTATATAATTAACTTGTGCACGTTTCAGTGATGATCATTTTCCGTGCGTTGTTATGACACTGTCTTATATATTACATGTGTACCGTGTGTTTATCATCTCAATGCATGGACTATGAGTGATTGTTAACTTTTGACAGCCATAAGAGATAGGAGGCGGTTAACTATATATATATATATATACATTGTATCCTATTTACCTGTGTGCACAGAATAAATACCTCACTGACAGTTACTAGAGGGGACAGGCCAGATGAACAGGCCATAGATATGTCAGATGTAGCCTAAATACCCCACAATACACATGGGTATACACATACCCCACAATACACATGACAACGTCTATTAACCAGCTCAGAAAAGCTAGTCAAAGCCTAATTGTCTCTCCAAGGGCATACCCGTGATGAACGATTAGATGTAGCCAAGTTACCAGTTAAGAAGGATTAGACATAGCCTAGATACCAGTGATGGAAGCTTAAATGTAGCCTAGTTACCAGTGATGGAAGACTAGATGTAGCCTAGATACCAGTGATGAACGATTAGACGTAGCCTAGTTACCATTTATGAACTATTAGACGTAGCCTAGTTACCATTTATGAAGGATTAGACATAGCCTAGTTACCAGTGATGGAAGCTTAGATGTAGCCTAGTTAACAGTGATGAAAGATTAGATGTAGCCTAGTTAGCAGTGATAAAAGACTAGAGGTAGCCTAGTTAGCAGTGAAGAAAGATTAGATATAGCCTAGTTGGCAGTGATGAAAGATTTTATGTAGCCTAGTTAGCAGTGATGAAAGATTTGATGTAGCCTGGTTAGCAGTGATGGAAGATTAGATATAGCTTGGTTAGCAGTGATGGAAGATTAGATATAGCTTAGTTAGCAGTGATGAAAGACTAGATATAGCTTAGTTAGTAGTGAAGAAAGATTAGATATAGCCTAGTTAGCAGTGATGAAAGATTAGATATAGCCTAGTTACCAGTATGAATAGACCAGATATTTCAACTTGTGCCGTGTTCTGAAAATTAGTGCAAGGATGCGGTCCCCAATAGAATGTGCCTGTCAGTTCCTCTGGTTTCCATAGTGATTTCTCCACTTTAGCTACCACTTTTTAGAATACCACACTTTGATAAATCTCCTCCTATTACTAGAATCTCTAGTAAAAAGATAGAATTAGGCAGTTCATCGAGTGCAGTGTAAAGGAATACTGCTGGGAATATTACCCGAGTTTGGAGTAAAGGTACTGTGCCAGGAACATTATTCGTTTGGTGTAAAGGGACAATGCTGGTTCTGCCACTAGGGTCTAATGTTGGTTCTGCCACCAGGGTCTGATGCTGGTTCTGCCACCAGGGTCTAATGCTGGTTCTGCCACCGGGGTCTAATGTTGGTTCTGCCACCGGGGTCTGATGTAAATAAACATCCGGCATGTATCACCATATTCTACTATGAAAGGACAACGTTGACAATGCTTATATCTGTTGTGAAGCGATGCTGCCGTAATTATCCCCAGCATCTGATATCAAAGCACAGGTGTGCGTGCTTTGCTTACTATTATTTACTATCATAATCCTACTAAACCACACATTTCCTCTATTTCATCCAAAACATTCTCCAAACACTTCACTTGTCTCTCCAAAGATCAGAATTCCTCCCACACTGGCAATCTCTCCAAACCTAGAATTATATCTCCAAAACTCACATTTACCCTGACCTCAAACAATCTCTCAAAATCTCCCCCTACCTTCAGAACCCATAATCTCCCCCAGAGAAATATTTCTTAGCTTTGCCAGTTTTCAAGTTTTGCTTTTAAATTAATTCATTTTTGTCCCTCAATTTCTCCTTTTTTTTTTTTTTTTTTTTTTTTTTTTTTTTTTTTGTGTTTTTACATTCACATTATTTTTTTTTAGTTACTAGGGTCTACTTTTTCTCAATTTTGGAAATAGGCAGAGCTTAATCAAAATTCCAATTCAGATGCTAAGCTAATTTACCCACAATCCTTAAGTGAAAAGAATCCCGCGGAATGACAAACTGCAGACTTCATGAACAGAGGAGATCAAAATGGTAGCACCTAGGTGTTAAGACTCCTGGCATAAGTAAAAAAATAAAGTGATAATTAGAAATAAAGGCAAATGGCAAAGAGGGTAATGTAATCATTAAGATACAAGGGACATAAGGAAACGGTTTACTCATTGCTTTCTCGAGGTCAATTAACAATTTACCTTTCATCTGATTTAATTTTTCTGTCCCTTCACTTGGTAGTCATCATCTTTCTTCTCTGCTTAAATCAGGTGGTTCCACAGGGATATATCTGGATTGGAGGCCGAGGCACGCCTGAAAGCTCGAGGAGTTCATGGAAGTTTTCTTGTCCGACCCAGTAAAAAGAAACCAGAAGACTTCTCATTGTCTGTCAGGTACAAAACCAAAATAGTTTGATACAAGGCTGGGGTGATTAGCGCACACAATGGTGTATAGTTTTCTTTGGTGTTATATCTAGATATTATAAACAAAAAAGACCGTCATAGGACAGTATGTATATACAAAATTAAAAGTGAGAAGTAACTTGGAACACACAATATTTAGAGCCCATGTAAGTCAGCTCTAAACTATAATGGCATTTTCATCAATCCGCCACGCCAGAGTACCTCCTGAGAGGTCTGGGTAAAAGGTAAGTTGCATTCCTTCAAAGTTATAGGGGTCCTGACCCTTGAGGGCTGTGAGAATTGCTGCTTTAGCTCTGCCATTGTGGAGGTGGACTATCAGGTCTCGCGGAGCTGCTGCAGAGGCCTTTGGTGGTTTAGGAATGCGGAAGACTTGGCCTGCCGCATGGATAGTAATGCCACTATGAGGCGTCTCAGCATGTGTGGCAGTTCCTCCGTGGGTATGGCCTCTGGGATGCCCCTGATTTTCAGATTGTTCTTTCGTCACGTGTCTTCCATTGTAGCAAATCGGTGGTCGTATAGTTCGTTCTTCTTTTAGAGCCCCCGGATCGTTTGTTGCATGGAGGCTATTTGTTGCGCGTGCTCCCCGGCTGTAGATTCCACAGTATTGATCCAGCCCGTTAGGCCTTGGAGTTCCTCACGCAGGTTTGCCACGTCGGCCAGAATATTCTTTTGTAAGTCTGCCAACAGGACTTTAAGCACCGCCCTTGTGACTGGAGCTTTGTCCGAGCTGCTATATGTTGAGGTTGATGTCAGTTTAGCCGGCAGTTCTTCATCATCAACAGGTCTGAGTAGGCCTCAGGGTAGTCGGCCATTTTGGGCCTGCTTGCTCTTTGTGCTTATCACAGGAGGTCGCCGATGTCGTGGCCCAGGCGAGGTTTGTCGGGTTTCAGCTTCTTGGTTTTTCGACCCATGTTGTGATGCGTGTCTCCCTCCTGCCCCTGTTGTCGTTCTGATCGAGCAGTACTGTTGATAATAAGGGTAACTCTTTTGCAATGTCTCGGAGCTCTAACATAGTTTGGCCATTCACTTCAACCGCTTGGCCACCCCCCGAAAGGAAGTTTTAAAACTTTTATTAGAGTAAAAAAGTAATAAAAACAAGCACAACGCTTCCTCAGGTGCATGACCAAAACACACTTCATGTGTAGATGTGTATGGTGATACTTGGCAAATATGAGCCTGTTGTTTGCCGTCATGGCTTGTAAGGGAGCACCAGGTGGATTGAATGTTAGGTTGAGGAGGGCACAGAGCTTCCGCCAGTCACTTTCTGTAGCGTGACCTTGAGGACTACTGTATAAGATCTTCTTCTATTTCCTCTACCTGGCCTGATAGGAGGTTTCAAGTTTAGAGCATTGAGACCGGGTAGAGAATAAAGACACACACACACAAGAGCAAAAGGTGGAAGAGGAGTCTTCAAAAGGGGAAATTAGAAACTCAAAAGAGGGGAAAATGTGCAAAAGAATAGGTAAGAGGGGAAAAGGGGGGGATTAAGAGACACACAGATGTAGATGTATTTTAGGTGATGGCAAAATGTGTCTTCGTCTGTAGATAAAAATCCTTGCACTTGGCCATGTTTGCAGTCATTTCAATTATCGACAAAAATAGTTAAGTACGTACTGCGTTTTCTTCAAAAAGGCAACCATGCAGTGGAAAACAGATTTGAGGATATTTTTGAAGAATGCTTCATTATTAGGCTTTATAAATTGGAATAATTGGTACCCAGCATGGTTTACATTATGGACAGTAAAGTCTAGGAGTAGTCTGACCAATGGACCATTGTTGCCCCAGATAGGCAAAATCCATTGTGTGTTCCAGGTTCAACAAATCTGGTTAGCATCTAATATAAAAAATAACAACTTGACCATCACCTAATTTTACCAGGGTCCACATTACTGTCCACTATAGCCGTTAATGTGAGGGCTTTGTAAGGTTGCATAGACTGAGAAAGACAGATGGTAATTTGGTAAATGAAGATCGAACTAGAACAGATAGTTGTCTGAATATTTAGTTGCTGATGTACCCTAGAGGAGAAAGTAGAGCAAACGTTGAGGGTACTGTATAAACATTGGATGAAAAAAAAGAATAGTGTCACCAATGGAATGTGCCTGCTGGGTCCTCTCGTTTCCATGGTGACTGCCCCACTTTTTGTACATCAGACCACTTTTCAGAATACAACAATTTTTATACATAAACCCTATTGTTGTTTTCTTTCCACGGATAGGATGCACTCTGTCTTATGGGGTGCCAAATTAATTTATACAGGGTTATTCAATAAAGTGAGAATTCAAGGTAAATTTAAAGTTAATGTCAAATTTAAGGTTAAAATAGCCAAACTGGAAAATCCTCTAAGTCAGCTATGGTTTCAGTTTGACTGCTCTGGTCTTAAGTTTGAAATTGTCTTTGAATTCACTTTGAATTCTAATTTCGGTGAATAGCCCTGACAGTGCATTGAATTCAGCATTTCAAAAGTATCTGATATTTTATCTTAGACTAGACCTAGTTCATTTCTGGACAGATATTATTTTTTCGTCCTATAAACGGTGTGAAATGGGGTCTTCGCCTCCAAAATCAGAAGACCACAAAACCACCAGGAAGTCCTGCCACAGATGGCATACACAGAGATAAAATAAGAAAATCTTCTTTATTGTTCTGTATAATGGAAGCAACACATACAGCTAAGACTGGAATGTTTTGGGTATTAGCTATTAATCTGGATGTAGTACTGATATATTATACAATGTGTGTTATAGGTCTCTAAGATGCTGTCGGGTCCAGTTAGCACAGTTAAGTTGGATTCTTAATATCTGCAACTATTGTAAAAGTGATGGTGATCACGGATTATAAGTCCTTTAAGGTAGCTGGGCTTAATGACAATAGACACTCTGTATACCTGCCAACAAGTTCTAATAGGTTTAAACAGGAGTGAGCCCAAGTCAGGACACCAGAAATCAGAATAAACAGAATACACCAGTCAAATGTTCAGGTAACAGACAGATAATTCTAAGAATAAACTGTGGTCAGGAGTACAGAAACCAGAAACTAGCCACGTCAAATAACGGTAATTCAGAGAATTGCAAAAAATATATACTATACTAAATTCTCAGAGAGGTAAACCACAAACGGTCACTAAGCCTAGTGGTTACTGACTTCATGTAGGCCTTCATCAGGCTTGCCTAGTGATTGGTTTTAATTCGTAAAAAAAAAAAAAAAAAAGGCAAATTAAACTGTAATCAGGAGACACACCATCAGAGGGCCTCGCATGGCGCACAGCATCAAGGTATCTGCGTACATGACTGATATATGGGTAGAGCACCCAGCAACAAACATGCTGGTGGAACAAAGAAATGGAACACTCGCATGTGGTGATGAAGATTGCTGAACAGGGGGGGCGGAGCCCGGCGCTGAACCGGACCGGGCGCCATCTCTCCCAGCTCCGTCGATCGCACTCACAATCTAGGCAATATCCTGGAGACTAGCCGCCATCCGACGGCGTAAGCATCAGCTACAGTCTGGGGACACCACACCGAATCCCCAGATGCCCTTCCAGTACTCCCCGAAGCATCTAAAAGCAAGACGCAGGACCGGGGCCTACCACACACCCGCCAACCGCAACCTCGAGTTTCTCTGGGGCGGGGACCCCGCGGGAAACACAGCAGAGTGGTGGCCGACCCTTACATCACCTGCTAACACAGCAATGGGGCGTAGAAATCAGAAGAGTACCCCCAGTAACGCTCCAGAACAGAGGGACATAGGAGCTATGCTCCAACGGCACACCTCCGCCAAGATGGCGGCCGCGGAAGGCCCGACCTCACCAGAGGCTCCCCACACAGAGGCATCTGCAACACTTCAGCTGCAGAACACAACAGAGAGCTCACAGCAACAGCCCACAGCATCAGCAGGTAACTCTGAACCTGCAACCAAACAGGACCTCCAAACCCTGTACACTATGCTGCAGGACATTCAAAACCTCCTCACTGCGGACCTGCCTATCCTAAAATCATCCCTACTAACAGGCAGAATGGAGGCAACTGAAGCAAATATTAAGGAGCTAAGCCAAGACACCTCCACCATGCAGGCATCTATACTCCAACTACAAGCAGCCCAACAGGACAGGTACCGCCGCAACCACGTAAAAATAAGGGGCATCCCGGCCACGGTCCCCCAAGAGGAACTGCCACACTACGTCAGAAGGCTGCTGGATTCAGTACTGCCACCTGCTACCGCTAAAAAAATAACCATCGCTGGGCTATATCGAATACCAACGTCTACCTTAACCACCGCCAAAACGCCCGGCGACGTCATACTCCGCTGCGCACTACCTCAAGACAGGGGGCAAATAATGGCAGCGGTAAGAAACAAGACTCCACTGCCCTTTGAAGACTCGCAACTGTCCTTCTACCAGGACTTATCCAAGGCCACACTACAATGGCAAAAATCCCTGAACCCTGTCACCACCCGACTGCGGGCAGCAGGAGTGCCCTACAGGTGGGGAACACCACGATCCCTCCTTGTCTCGTACAAGGGGTCCATGCAACGGCTAACTACGGGGACTGATATCCCAGCATTCCTTGCAGCTCTAGACATGCAAGAGGCAACGGTAGCACCAACGGACTCAAATCGGGCACACGGATGGGACCCATCCAGAGTGGTACCATTTGTGCCAAGAACTGTAGCCGATTGCCCACCTGATTCCTGACTGGCAGGGACATCTCCAGCCCGGTTCAAACCTAACGGAGGGACTCACTGATCCGGCAGCCCTAGGCTGCAAAGTTGCAAAGTTGTAGAGATGTAAAGTTCTGCTTGTTCTTGTGTTATTACCCTTTTTTTTTTCTTTTCTTTTTTTTTCTCTTCTTTCTTCATGCCGTATGTCTATGTCCCTTGCGGTAGAATCACCCATTAGAAGACACAATTTTCCGCCTGGGCCCACTGGGCATAGAGACACCAGGCTCACTACACCCAAACACTCACGAAGCTGCGCCATCTATGACCCTAGTCCGGTTGCATCTAGCCACACATGACCAATCATTGAAGCGCACACACCCCCCCCCGCTACCGCCTTGGTTAGGGGCTATGCCGCTCACCACGAGAGGTCAACCATGCACAAATCATCCCCCCCCCACCCCACCCAGGGGAGGAGGGCAAAGCTTACACCACCGACACTCGAGTGCAGATATCGCTTGATTTCACTAAGTTAGACATGTTATTAAACCTCTTGTGATCAAAACCTATGCTAATGTAACATGTTTTTGCTTACATCCTGTTCTGAGCGACATTATTTTAACACTATAAAATGTGCTGATAAGTTCATTGTTCCAATTGTTAAGTCTGAAAAATATGCTCGGGGAATGCTATTGGGGCACCACGAGCTTGCTTGTTATCTACTCAAAGCACGATAAAAATAAAGAATTAAAAAAAAAAAAAAAGATTGCTGAACAGAACACATGTGAACATGCTTTAACAATGTGTAAATGTGTGCTTACCATTTAGTTTGGGTGATTAGAGCCAGATGGTAAGGAGATGCATGGATTAAAAAGCTCAGATTGCGATGGAAGGTTCTTTATAGAAATCTGGTGGCTAAGGTGCCAGGTAAGTGGCAGATGGCTTGTCTAAGCAGTTGAGGTTTCAGAGAGCATTTCACCTTGGGTAGTCTCTGATGTAGCAAGAATGAATCCTGGCTGCAGGTCCAGGATGGGAGGACAAAAGAGTTATGGGCAGAACCAAGATGGCAGTTGGGAGAACCTTTTTCTGAAGGTAATGATTAACAGATGAAAGTACAGTCAGCATTGTTTATTGGCGCTAAATTATGCAAGATTTAACTGGGTCTAATGGTGAAATCCATAATGAATGGAAGATGGGATCAGTAGTAGAGGAGACGGACAACTAAGTTTAAGTTTAGTGAGACATAACATTAATGAAGAATGTTTATATATATATATACATATATATATATTGTGAATTTAAAAAGTATATTTATTATGTTGCAGCCTTATGCTACAGTTGTTAAAACTTTTCCCCCCCTAATCCATGCATTCCCTTACCTTCTGTCCCTAACCTACCAACTAAATAGTAAACTCACATTCATACAATGTTAAATCATGTCTGCGTGTGTTTGGTAAGACGATTTTCACCATGCCAGTGCACCATCTCTTCTGCTCGCCAGCATGTTTGTTGCCGGGTGCTCTTCAATGTGAAATAAATTGAAGGATCCGAATATTAACTTAATGCACACTTACCATATCTACATACAGCTAGCTCTGCAAAATTGACTAAAAACGACTTCTAAAAAAGAAATTAAAAAAGTACCATTGTGAGTAAATATTATCTATTTCCTTGTAGAGTGGAGGATTCGGTGACACACATTCGTATTCAGAACACGGGCGATTACTATGATCTATATGGCGGGGAGCAGTTTGCCACGCTGCCTGAGCTTGTGGAGTATTACATGGCACAACAGGGGAGCCTGCAGGACACAGATGGAAACCTCATCCAACTCAAATACCCTCTGAACTGTTCTGACCCAACCAACGAAAGGTAAGGAAAGCCAATGTCAAAGGTAAATACAACTACTAGTGCATCAGGTCTGCACCACAAAGATCCAGATACTTTGACCTTCTCACCTCTGCCCCAAGTACGTAACTTGCTGGGTGTATAACTTATTGCCGCAGGAATTTACCTGTGCTCCCAAGCAGGCGACTCATTTCCCCTGGGAGATTGCTTATTTTTGCAGACAGATGACTCATTCTCTCGGGGAGATAGCCTTGTGCCCCAGGAAAGAAACCTCATTGCCCCTGTCAACTAACCTGTAACTCCAGGCAAATATCCTACCAATAGATTTTCCAGGTAGACAGAATCCCCACATTGTGCTGCACACTTTTGTGCCTTTAGATTGTAAGCTTGTTTGGGCAGGACTTTTTCCCCCTACTGTTCCCATATGTCAAACTTGTTTTGTTAGAATTAAGTGTTTGTCTTGTTAACCTTTTATACAGCGCTGTGGAATTTGTTGGAGCTATATAAATAACTGTAATTGTGTTACCTGTTTGAACTGCAGTGATACATTTTGGACATACGATTTCCACAGGTCTATATTCTTCTATTTCTTTAATATCTCCAATATAATCTATCATATCCATTTCACTGCACATCAAACAGGGACGGTGTTACTCGTGTAATCAGGAATGTGGAGAACTGGCAATAATCCTGGCACTGTGTACACTGTAGTGTGATACTCTTGCAGGGAGTGATGCATGCTGGGATGGATTTAGCAATTTTTGTTTTGGCAGCGTTCCCTGCTCACCTGTTGCACTATGTAATACTGTTTAGTAATCACTTTGTACAGCAATCATACTGTAACAGAGCACTTAATAAATAATAGTCTGTGTTGTGACTTTCGCTATTGTGAGTGAAAATTTGATTTTCACAAGTCCATCATTAACCCTACTCCTCAATGCGACGATTTTTGGACTTCAGAGTTGGTTTAACGCCTTGCGTTGATGGTTTAGTGAAACCAAAGACCCAAAGCCTGCACGCAGTCTTTTTATATTCATTGAGCCTTCCCTTCAGATTTATGAAATGTACCCTATTTTTCTGTGTATAGGACGCCCCCATATATGACGACCCCTATTTTTGGAGTCCAAAATTAAGAAATCAAATAGAACAACGTTGATATTTTAGAGGTGACTTCTGATTCTCATGCCTCCCCTGTGCTACGGTACTCTGTGAAGTTAATGGCTCTATAGTGCACACTGGGAGACTACAGCTCCCACAATACAGCAGGTGGTGGGGGGCATGCTGAGACATCACAGTAGTATTCCCTCTGTTCCCTGATCCCCATTTCCTTCCCCATGAATATAAATCAGAAAGCAAGACCTACCTGAGGTGGAGTAAAACCTTAATATGGCTGCTCCTTTTATGGTGTGGCATGTCTCAAGAGCTCCATTGGTGGTAAATGCTGATGTCTGCTGCAGCTCCCACTCATATAGGGACCTCCTCCCCTTGCATTCAGAAGTGCATCGGAGGGAGGCCTGGCATGTGTGTGGGCCGTGGCACACTGAAACGCGGCAGGCGCCATCTTGACTTAGGACCCGCGCATAAGTGTTTTGTTTTTTTTAACCCTTCCAGTGACATTCCGTGTAGAAGACGACCCCCAATTTTAGACAAAAATATGGAGAAAAAAACATAGTATTATACATGGAAAAATTCTGAAATTCTGTAAACTCCAGGTTGGGCAATATCAGTTGAGATAAAGTTACAGTTAAGCATTTCTAAATGTAGGTGACCATTTGCCCTGGCCTAAGATGTGGGCCAACCCATTGGTTCATAAGTCACATAATGTATAAAAAGAGTCTAAAAACTTACAGGAAACTAAAGTTCATAACCAGTAAATATTGTTTATTTAGCAAAATTACAAACACATTTGGAGAGATGGATAAATGTATAGTGTAGACACAATTACGGTAACTTTAACAACATTTGTCTACGTATAAAATAACTACTGTGGATGATTAAATAAGGTCAGTGGCCGCGGTATTTTTAAGAAACTTTCTGTAGACCGTTTTTACGCTCAAACCTCAAAGACCTCAGGAAATAGAAAGCAGTAAAATGAAATGTTGCACGTTTTCAGATGAAGTTTAAAAATAGATCATCACATTTGGACTTACAGACATATTTATACTGCGTTAATACCCCCCAAACCATGGCATTTCCTTGCAACATTTGTAGCCCTTCTAAGGGACTTTTAATGAATTAATGATCAATGAGACTTCTTTTTACGCCTTCTGAGTAATGCTAGCACACACCACAGCTCTCCAGGTCCCAATTTATTAATCACACCAATGGAAAGAGCCTCTTTTTCCTTCCAATGGTAAACTGACCACACGATCGGAGCCGTGGAATCAAAATTATCACCTGCCTGTCTACAACTGCTTCCCTCCACCTCTACGAAGGTACCAAACAACCTGAAAAGGAGTATAAAGCTACAATGGCCTATACTATGATTCTATTCTTGCAAACAGTGTCCTTCACTGAAAGAACCTTTTATAGCACGCATGGCACCTAATATTTGGATACACACAGGTTGCAAGGTTTTGCAGCTAGTGATCAGCCTGTGCATACTGGAAGTATCAGTCTATAGAAGGCAGCTTGATAAAGAATTGCTTTAAAGTCAGGTAGATGAAAAAGGGATAAGGAGATGTTGAAATAACTAAGGAGGGACAGATCCAACAGGTGAACCACGTTTATTGACAACGAACTCTCCATATACCACTCTGTCACAATACTCTGCGTGTACCGCAACAATGACAAAATATACTGTAATTATTACAATATTTACACATGCCCTAATCCAGTCTCCCATCCATACTCCCAGACAGATATTCTTTGTTAGTCTGGGAAATATAACATGACTTGGAAGTGTCAGTACAAAAGGAATGTAATTTTTATAAAGCGTACATGTACTCTTTGTGTGTGTGGACTATTTCTGCAGTGTATGTGCGTACAAAGCACTCATAATTCCAAAGGTAAATTTATAGGCAGAAAAGTCCCTATTTTGGCTAATCCCTAGTCTCCCTTTATAGAGCCTAACGACTCTCTTTTAGGAGCTCTGTATTGCTGGTGTGTCGGGTTTATAAGAGCCTTACAACAATAAAACCTACAGTAATGTGTCTTACTATAAACGTGTTCAGCAATCAACCTGTGTAAACTAAAGATACCATGTTCAACTACTTTAAAGGTTATCAGTGGCTCATAAAGTCACATAGACTGTTTCAGAACTTCCTGCGATATTTAACTTTTTAATAAGTTTAAGCATTATTTTTTCATGCTAAGTGTCTGGGCAAATGTTTGAAGTCTGCATTCTGTACGTGCAGCATATCTGTGCGCTACAGTGTGTGTGTGCATGCAGTGTGTCTGTGCGCCACTGTCTGTGTATGCATAGTGCACCATGAGTGTGCATGCAGTGTCTGTGCGCCACTGTCTGTGTATGCATAGTGCACACTGAGTGTGCATGCAGTGTGTCTGTGTGCCACTGTCTGTGTATGGATAGTGCAGTCTGAGTGTGCATGCAGTGTGTCTGTGTATGCATAGTGCACACTGAGTGTGCATGCAGCATGTCTGTGTATTGTTTCTACATTACAGATTGCAGTCATACTGCCATACCGGATATCATGTTTATAACTAGATTATCTGAATGTACTTTGCTTTCTTATCCACTGAATCTCTCGACCCTCAGCAGCAAAAGAGCAAAGAGGGCAGTTTATTACTTCTAATGTCTGTGTAGTGGAAGGAATACCTTCCCTATATTGCTGACACCTCATTTAGATACAGAATTCAGGCCCAAGCTAATGTACAGGGTTTAAAACAACAGGTCCCTGTCATTTCGCAAAAAAGGGAAGAGAGGTATAAATCTGCATAGCTGGTATAGCGGAGAGAGATAGAGATCACAGGGGGGATAACTGTCTATTGCTGGTCTGGTACATGCAAATAAACGCAGCAATAATACTTTTAATATATAACTCGTATACGAGGAGCTGACATTTTTCCAACAGCCCGGTATTATCGTTGAACTGGAATGCCATTTATGGCCGAGCGAATCTTGGCTGCGTGTCCTGGGAATACTGTAGAGTTAAAGGACAGAAAATGTAATGAATGGGAAATTGTGTTTTGAAACATTACAGGAATCTGATGTAAGACGTCATTGGTTCTTAGCTTTTTACCTAGAGTTCCAAATTAAGAGCTTTACATTGGATTGGTGATCCATTCTATTACTATAAAAATAGCACCTTATTTTTTATTTGTTATATAAGGTATACTAAAAAAAATGCATTCATACTATAACGTGCATTCATTAGACAATGCTTGTGCCTAGGAGGTCTCCATGACATTGGGAAAGGCTGCAACGCTATGTTAAGCCATTTATTTTGGGTATTTCACCGGGACCTGATGAATATGACATGTCTGATTGAGACAGAGGAGACAAACTAAAATGGTTTGTGTCCTGACCTGGGGGTTTAGAACAAATCCATATAAGTACACAGAGAGAATCTTGGGTTTAATGAGTGGCCACATAAAGTGACATCCTAGCCAAGGTGCCAAGAGGAACATTTTGTGATGTGACATGAATTGGAAGAGTACATAAAGCCCTTCAAAGCTCAGTGTGAAGTAGATTGTCCCTATAGAATGGAACCCTCAAATTTACAAAGTATAATATTGGAAATCGGATTCTGCATGACGTACTAGTCCGCTGAGTGCTGAGTGCACTGGTGATATTTGTTAAGGAGCCACAGATATCACAAACTCCTGCACCGTGCATTTAATTAGTTTCCATGCTCCTTCCGAGGTATCGTCATCAGTGGAAATAAAGGAAGAAATACCCCAACTCACTTATTCATTAAAGTCAGAATTGCCTTGAATTCAGAGTGCATTTCAAAACTTAGGTTAGGGATTGACCGATATTGATTTTTTTTTAGAGCCGATACCGATAATCTGTGAACTTTCAGGCCGATAGCTGATAACTTGCCGATATTCTGTGCATTTACCATTTTGAATGTAAAACATTGCAGTTCCAGAAAGACTGCAATATTTACATTGCAACACAAAGTCTGCCTCCAATGGCTGTCTTCCAGACAGCCACTGGAGGCATTTCCTGGATGTTAACAAACTTTTGGTCTGGTACGCTCTGCATGAGGACACCCAGCATCATCTGTTTCACCATAGGAAAGCATTGATTCAATGCTTTTCTATGGGGAGGCCTAATGTGCGCGCAGCACTAACTGCAGATGCAAATTAGCGCCAACAGCGAGGGACATCAGCGCTAAGATCAGGTAAGTAAATAAAGGGTTTTATTCCTTTGTATTCCTGGCACAATAGTATCCATTTCCTTTCATTTAATGTGCCATCCCTCATTAATATAAGTTAAAGGTAACTGAAGCTACAAAGGTCGACTTATAAGATATGTAACGAAAGTTTTTTTTCATTTTACTGTTACAAGGTTTTTCCAGAGATGCTCCCTCATTTGTATACGTACCTGCGATTTGAATGATTTAATTCTGTGCAATAGCAAGCACAGACGGATCTACGCTGGTTTAACCCCTGAGCTTCCATTCAGGCTTGGAATCTGTATTTAAGTTGATCAGAATGCTGTAAACTTGAAAAAGGTGCAGGTTCCAAAATATTATTAATTATATATTTTTTTAAAAATTTACACGATTCTGTGATATTGCAATATTTTATTATTTTGTATCTATAACTCTGGATTGATATTATAACTGCTGCAAGTTTTGCTATGTATGCAGTATATTAATTTGTTCTGTACATCCTTTTCAGTGTCGCTGATTTTTTAACCTCTCAGACAGACTATGGGACCCACATATAACATGTGCACAATGTTACTTATCCAGCAGGCACGTTGTTTATTGCACCTAAGATCAGTACTTGTAATATTTATAAACTAAGGTTGTGGAGTGTCTTTGTAATGAGTAACACTGGCAGAAATTGTGTAGATACCATTCATTTGAGGCTCTGTGGCAGTTATATCCGAACGTCACAGAGAGACACTGTCGTTTTTTAACTGCTTGTAATTGAACCTAGGAATAATAAACGTAAATTGAATCCCCACGTCTTTCTTTTAAAGGACAACTCACGTCATTTTGATCATAATTTAAAAAATAACGGCTCTAATATTCGGTGGAACTGCTAATAAACATATTTATAAGCACATGAATATCTGCATACTGGGATATAGTGGGCGATTGTAACCATGCCAAAAGCTGGAATATTTGGCCAGGATTACAGCTGTCCAAACCAGTCCCTCAAAGAGCTGTAAGATTGGGTGAGGTCCGGATTTGTACGAGCTGGTCATGTTCTTAGAAAAATTACTGATCTCGGCAAATCGATGGACATTGTCAAACAGTGGTAGGAAAGGGCTTTCTCCAAACTGCTACACAAATTGAGAAGGACCAACTTGACTCCGTAACGTCTCCGTAACGTGTTTTAAAATGCTCACAGTGTTAAAGAAACACTCCACAGACTTAAGGCTCTTCCCAAAATACTTGATCGCTTAAGTACTTTATTTGTCTGGAGTCTGTCATTTTCTTGACAGTCTAAAAAAGTGTCAATTTCAATAGAAATTATTATAAGTGAAGGGGAAACCACCCGCCTGTCTGTCACTTATAGCTAACCGAAGTGGCATGCAGGCTGTGCTACAGCTCATTGAAAAGCATAGGAAAGCCACCATCACATGCGTATGCTCATTGCTCCAGCAGAGCGGCTCCTCAATTAATTAGAAGCCTTTGATTAGTGTAAACTCTGGCCCAGACTGAATGCCTCTGTCAGGGAAAGAGGGAGAGCTTTCAGACAGCAGATCTGTAGCTTTTGCAAGCTGTTTTTTTTATATACCCCCCCCCCAAAAAAAAAAAAGTACAATAATAAATACATGAATACTGTATTTGGGGGCAGATCTACTGAATTGTTCAACAAAAATCCACTGGAGTGTTCCATTGAACATGTGGAACGATCTATTAGATATACAGAGTATTATCTTGCAGTGGATCAAGCTCAAGTGCTTTAGGTGTTTGCAACACACATGAGAACCATAATATAGATGTTTATTAACATCTGGCGAGCCATTCAACAAGAAGAAAGAAGATGTATACAAGACTTATTTCAATCACCTTGGAAAAAACTCAAAAAAGTGATTCCCCCCCCCCCCTTTTTTCAAACCGTGTCCCTTTAAAGCCATAATGCTGTTTTGTTGTATTTTGATTCTATCCTTGATTAAATCATCATCTTTTCCAGTTTCTTCATTTGCTTGTTAGTACTTGAATTTGAAGCCAAAACACAAGAAATACCATCAATAATATTATTAACAGACTTCTTAATTTGTCTTTAAAGGACAACTATCATCAAATTTTCACTTCTCATTTTTAAAAAAATATTATTACTTTTAATGAAACCTAATGTTTTGTTTTCTTAAAATATTGTATTTTGAATTTTTTATTTTTTTAAATCTCACTGTTTTATCTGGCTGAGCTTGTCAGACTCTACCAATATATGTATGTCGTACACTTCAATAAAACAAGAAGAGAAAATTTGATGTCAATTGTCCTTTAAGAATCAAACTATTTTCGAAATGGTTTGTCACTTTCCTGGGTCTCCTAGGCAACATCACAGATATTTTTAAAACGGAAGTTCCCCTTCTGCATTATTATATCAGTTTTGTCCATGTTTGGCAGAATTCATCGACTGAGAGCCTTAATTGATGTTCTCAGCCAATGGATTAAGTTGTAAAGGGACACAATTGGTATATGTGATGCAGAAAGGCAAATGGCTCTAAAGGAATATCGGTGAAAAGGGGTCGGGACATGGTTCTCCAACTCAAGTTTATGTCAAATCATTTGAAAATGGTTTTATACCTAATCATGGCATGGATACAGGGATCTCCTGGTAGCAGGTGATAGTGATTATGGTGCCCCTTTATGAGATAAACTGATTGTAGGCTTATGTCTATTACTAAATCAAACCAAATGTGTTTTTATTATACCTAAATTAAATGTGATCTTTAGACTGTTGGAACAAGTGTTTTTTTTTGTGTGTGTGTTTTGTACACTGGCTAGTTAGATTAAAGGTAACGCCACTGCCTTAAAATTGAGATGCCCAAATTCAAATCCTGGTCATACCACCCTACAGTAAGTGTTCTTGGGCATGATATATACCCACCTACCTCAAATGCTCATCGATAGTAAGTTTGTTTGATTAGAGACTTCTTCAACCCTTTCAATAATTGTACAACACTGCAAAATATGTTGGCAATATAGAAATGCCAATAATAACATTTTTGGTGTTCTGAAGATAATTTATATTCTATCATCATCATCATCCGTGTTTTTTGTAAAATACTAATTAATACCGGGTTTCTCAGAGTCAAAACACAATCTGAACTGTTTGTGTGCAGGATGAGGTCAGGCCTCAGTCTACTGTCTTTTTTTGTTGGTATTTTTTTTTTAAACTAAGGAAGTGAAATAAAAATATATTTAGACGGTTTATTTTCGTCTCATGTTCTCATACGTTCGCTGGTTTAGAAACAGATCTCTCACTGAGAGCTTTCATCTTTCAACAAAACCAAAAATGTACTATCCAAGAACACAGTTATCCACATGCACATTGCAGAACCCCAGACCAGAGAATTAAATCCTGCAATGCAATATACTAACCGAAAAAAGACTAATCCTGGTCTATAACAACCAATTAAACTATTCTCCTGTATATCCCATACATCCCATACTGTCCTAAACCGTGATAGCCTTTACTGCTTCACCTGAAACACTGACACTGGTATCGACTACTCTTTTTATACCTAAATATTTTAACTGGAATTCTATTATAAGTATCTTCTGCTCTTTCTATATCACTAAGTTAGCCTTTATGGTTTCTACTGGAAGGCTGTTCCCACCATGGTCGATCCTGCTTGTGAGTCCTTGAGTGTAACATATTCATCTTCACCTTGCGACATTGATAGTGATTGCCTTGCCAACAGGTGCGGTGGTGCCGTTCAGCGGCCATGCGTCAATATGTCTGATCCCTGCAGCATGTTGATGGCCGCCAGCCGCTGTGGGTCTACACCAATTTGTAACCCCATGTCCCCCATGGCATAGACGACGTCGAAATATGCGTGACGTCACGCAAAGGATGCACACGCACGTTCTGGGGTCAAAGGCCGGTTACGGCCAATCGAATCCACAAGAGGGGTATTTAAACTCATCTATTTCTTCAGCTCATTGCCCCGTCATGGTTTCCCTCAGTGGTTGTCCGAGAGTGCGTTCCTGATAGTTTGTTTCTGGTTATTGACTATGGCTTCGTTTGACTTCTATGTATTCTGGTATCCTTGACTTTTGGCTTTCCCTCATCCTGTTGTCTCTTTCTCTTTTTTTTGTAAATCTGTTTTTATTGAAAAGTAGTTCAAACAGTCAATACATACGTTAAGAAGATTTGCAGACTGGGACATGCAGGTCTCCAACATACCATCAATTTGAGGATACTAATCACATCGTGTTAAGGTTCTCGATTGTGTTGGGAATCCAAGCTGTAATTTGGTCCCCCGTTTTTTGGGGGGTTTTTTTTGTTTTTTTTTGGGCTTGTTAGCCGAACCTTTTCCATGTTTCCCATTCCGTACCTTTCCTCGGGACACAGAGCACCTATCTCCGAAACTGGTGTGTGTTCTTAATATGCGATCCTGCCTTATCTGTTAGTTATGCTTTGGGTTCGGAGCCTTTGCTGACGATGTTTGGCGTTTTATCGTCCCCTTTAATTTATTATGTGCCATTTTGATATGTGTTCCCTTTTATTCGTTCTAATGGGGAAGCGGTTGTTACTATTATTTGGGGAGTTATGTGACTGACTTCTAGAATGGTCAAAGGTGGTGTTCCAAGCTGTTAGGCATTTTCCCTACTGCTTTTTGCGATCTGTGTGTTATGTGTGTGTATGATATGTGCCCACTAGTGGTGGAGGGGTTCTGTTGCGTGAGTTGTATATGTGTTGCGTCAACTATATGATGTGGCGCGTTTTCGGTGGGGGGTAGTTCTCCCTTCTGTATATCAGATTCTCCTCAGTCTTTCCTAATCAAAGTATGGGTGTGAGGAGATCAGGGGTAGATGTGGGATGGAGATAGAGTTGGGGGAGCAGTGTGTGTGCCGTTCCCACCTCTGGGGTCCCCCCCAGTTTGCGGGTATTGAGAAATATACATAAACAAGGGTTGCCATGCTTCCGCGTGTTTGGTTTCCCTGCCCGTCAGGGATGCATGGATTGCCTCCGCCCCCTGCATGTCCTCCACTCGCCTGATCCATTCCTCCTTCGTCGGGATCTCTGTCTTTTTCCAATAGGCCGGTATGGAGGCCCGTGTTGTCTCTTTCTGTGTCTCCGACCTCGGCAAGTATTCTGACTATTCTTGGGTACGTTAAGTCTGGCCATTCTAAGGCCCGGTAAGACGTTACCTATTAGTCCTAGGTGTGACACAGTTCTACGTGCTAGATCAACTAGTAATCCTGACATTGAGAAGTTTGCACTGAATTCTATAGGGTTTCAGTCCAGAATTCCAATTGGCTGGAGATTTAAACCCAAGCATTTACAAAGTATGGGAAGGTTCCAGGATGTACAGGCTGCTCTTTAGGAGGGCCACATATCAGGGTCTAAGACGAACATAACATGATGGGGCTTGTAATACGTCACCAAGAGGAGATTTACGTTTTGGCCATCTCTTGCATTTAAGGATATTTCAAGCATATATTTTTGTGGTGTTTTCTTTTTTGCTTTTTTTTTGTACTTTACATAGAAATTAGTATGAAATGTATGTAGGATTATTTCAAACAGTGTCTCACAGCTCTCCACAGGTGACTAAATTCACTATGTTGCTGACATTTACGTTGCAGTGTCAATAGTCAGTGTGGACACAAAGTGAAAAACATCCTAATAAGACTCATGTATGTGTATGTGGATATACAACTTATCCATAAAATATTGCAATATGGCAAAGGGAACACATCACTTAACTGTGTGATGCCAAGAACGGGCTGAGCAGTTAGAGAAAGGAAGGAGTTAATGAGGACAAGGTCTGAAGAAAGCCTGGTGGGGGGTTGATGTCACTGTGGTGCATGGCATTGGCGTGATAAACAATAATTATCTCTCTTTCATTCTTCTTAATACTGGCATCTACTTCCGATGCCAGCTAATCCTCAACCTACATTCAACTGCATTGCCATCAGTCTACTCCAACGTGACATCATTCACACTTCCATCATCATATATGTCTTCCCTGACCTTGCCATCAGTTTACTCCACCATGACATCATTTCCACCTCCATTATTCTATCCCTTCACTGACCTTGCCATCATGCTACTCCACCATGACATCATTCCCACCTCCATCATCCTATCTCTTTCCTGACCTTGCCATCAGTCTACTCCACTATGACATCATTCCCACCTCCATCATCCTATCTCTTTTCTGACCTTGCCATCAGTCTACTCCACCATGACATCATTTCCACCTCCATCATCCTATCTCTTTCCTGACCTTGCCATCAGTCTACTCCACTATGACATCATTCCCACCTCCATCATCCTATCTCTTTTCTGACCTTGCCATCAGTCTACTCCACCATGACATCATTTCCACCTCTCTCGTCCTATCTCTTCCCTGACTTTGTAATCAGTCCACTCCATCGTGAGATTATTCCCTTCCTCCTTCCCTCTAATGCTCACATTGCAGAGCAATCTCTCCTTTCTCAGTACTTCTCAGTATTTCCTTAATTTTCTTCACTTCCCTCATATCTGCTAAACCCAATCAAATCACTCTTTCCCACCTCCCAATCTTTCTCTCTTTGCCTGTCTCACTTCTCCTGGTACCATCTCTCCATTACATCAACCCCTCTCCTTCCCACCCCTCATCACTCTCCCTGTGGTCCTTCTTCCAACTACCTACACAATCTCCCCTCAACTCTCTATTACCCCCACAAATCTACTTCTCCATCATACCACTCCACCTCACTGCTTCCTAACTCTCCTGCTGTCTTTACCCAACACTATTCGACCATCTGTTATCTTCAAACATCTGCTAGAAAACCATACAACCAACAGTCCTCTTATCCCACTTTTCTTATTTATCCCAAATTCCTCCACCCTACCTCTTTTATCTTCTCACCTGCTAATCTCCCCTGCTCCATTCATCGTCTTCTACTTCTCTTCTTACTTCCTCATCACCTCTTTTTTTTCATTGATCACTCAAATAACCATCCTTCTCTCCTCTTCTCCCCAACTTCCACTTCTCTTTCCCTTCATTCTCTTCTAATTTTCCTTCCAGTCCTTTCCACAACCCTTAAATCCTTTCCTTGGCATGTTTCCACCTTTCGCTGTCTATCTCAGTCCCCTCTTCCCTCCTTCACAGCTCGCCATATCTCTTGTACCCCAATCTTTCTCCCACTAGTAATTCCCCCTTGCTGATTACCCCTCCCCCCCTTTGCTAAGCCACCCTACTGCTCTGTATCTCCGGCCCCCACCACACTGCTGAGCTCCCATGCGTCAGTTTCCTTGCTTCTTCCTCCTTGTGGTTGGAAAATTTACTGTTATGAAATAACTTGTCACTGAATTTTCCATCATGTGACTTTTCACAACTCAGCCACAACCACCCATCCCTTTCGACTAAACTTTTTTGGCCATTTACAGCACCACATCACACACAGTGCAACACGTATTCTATAGAGTGTCACAACATGCAAAATCATGTACCTTGTCTTAACACACGCACAATAGACGTCAGGGATCAGGTTAAGGGCCAGGCTTGAAAATTAGGGTAACTTTTCCTAAATGCAAAACTTAATCTGAAACTGTAATGCGAATTTATTACAAGGATAAAGAATACTTTATAAAAAAACATATGCATTTTATCAGTCCATATCCATGGGTACATAGATACATGTAGAACAATATGACTATTATAGATGTGTCTACTGTGTCATATATTTACATGATATGACAGCTGCTTTCCCAAGCAATACTGTAAAAAAAAAAAAAAAGTTTCTACGTAAAGTTATACAGAAATACCATAAATAGACTGATATTAGTGACAGATTTCAAAGTTACTGGAAGAAAAAAAATAATATAAGAGCTTAAAAAAAAAAAAAAGACTAATAATAATGACCGTTACTACCATTACCATAATTCACATAAAAAAGAAGTGAAAACTGTTTGTTTTTTATTAGTAAGTTAATTTGGAAATTATGTTGTTAACCTTTAGCCTAGAGAATTAAATACAATGAGATTTATAAGTCACATTTGAGATTTATGACTACTTTAAACATTTGTACACAGCTAAATTTTCTACACTTCATTAATACAACTATCCTCTAGCACCACAGCTAATGCTTAAAAAGGCACAGACAGGGCACTTTATGCAAACGAACTTCCCAACATTCCTTTGTGTTACAAAATATTAGGTTTAGTGCCCATGATTTTCTATCCTGTCTGTAGCAGAGACTACGTACTACTGCTTCTGAGTGCAAACAAATGACAACCTGGCTGTGAGTCCTCTACATAATGAAGTTTTGGAAAACCTGTAAATGATAGCAAACTACACTTGAAATGTGTCATGTGTTGCAGTTGACCGATAAGTCATCACTCTGTGTAGCCATGCTTGAAAACGTGTGAGTAGGTTGATTTCATAGAAATAAATAATAGGCATAATTAAAAAAAAGCAGAGTTGGTTATTGGGTTGTCAGTAGATGGAAGATAATTTTTATTTATACTACTACTGACACTCTCTGGAAACGTTGCATAACTTCCAATGTCCCCTGATGGTGACGGGAAGAAGGGCAAGCAAAGGTGAGTTTTACATACCTGAACCTGTCCCTCATGGGCCCTGCCATCCTACGGGTCCCTTTCTGCTCCTGGCGTTTCAGCTGCCAGGATCCCACGTCACTGCTGTACTCTCGCGCATGCATGTTGGATCTTCCATAATTAAAGCTAATTTTCCTGCAGCCATCAATGCTGTTCAGTGAAATTCCAACACAATCAATATAAGTATTTCATAAAGTTTCTATCTTTATCAAATACCATTTTGCAGGGAGTGGGGTGATATAAACAGCAATATACTAAGCTGAATTCATTATAAAACATGAGCATTTGCAGAACCTTAATTATAAATATGACGCCTATTTGTGGTACTAGAATGGGTAGACTCATGTCTAGAGGAGCTAGACTTCCCTCTTCTGGCCAGATATGGAACTTTGCTTAACCTTCCTACTTCACATTCCAGGTGTTCACTACTCTTTAAATAACATTGTTGGCTTTTAACGCATCCTCTGGAATGTTAGTCTAGGTATCTACTACTTTATTAAATAACAGCTTTTACCACTTTCAATGAAAGGCTGCTACAGACACAGGAGCTAAATAAACTTTCAATGAGGATCAATGAAGCATGTCACATTTTCATATTGTTATCAATATGACCCACTCTCCTCCCTGCATTTCCTGATTAACCCACTTGATGTTACAATAAGACTGCGGTTAATAATTACTGTTTATAGCAGACATCGTTTCTTGCTTTCCTAGCAGACGTTGTTTTCTCGGTGGTAGATAGCGCTGTGGGATGTTGTGTAAAGCTCATAATCTTGTAGTATGAGCATGAAAACAAAATGACCGAATGCAACGCAGTTAGTGATAATGACATTTAGTCCATAAAGCCTCACTCGCCCTATACTCTAGGAATAATTGCCAGGCTATGTAGAGGGAAAGAATTCTCTGTCAGAAACTACTGGTCACTGATTAATTGCCTGTAAGTCAGCTGAAAATGTTGTCTCACCCTCTGCTTCCAAACACTACAGGGAGTTTCAATGGGTCGTACAATTCCTACAGTCAGGGAGAGTTCAGGATGTTGTAATCAATGTTAGCATTACATTAGCAGTGACTGATAAAGATTTTGATAAGAATTTAAAATATCTTTATTGAGAAATGTATGATTTCACTGTATTTACTGTATGTGGGCAGTATGCTTAAATGCAGACATTATTTTTGTATCCTGCTGCCATTTTTAGTAAGCTGTGCTGCAAGTAATGCATTTAAGGTGCTTACAAATACCTGTAAGCAAGATATTTAACATTTTTGTTTATCTATTTGTGTCACAATTTCTTGAAAACGTGAAAATTGCATTTTTTTCAAAAATAGTTAAAGGGTAAAGAAGAAACATTATGTAGAAAGTGTAATAATTCACAGAGAATAAATGAAGTTCCAACACTAACTAACGTGAGCATTACCAGGAATTAGGCCAAAACAGTCAAACTGAAAACAGAATTAAATTGGAGAATAATTCTAATTTGGCTACTTTGGTCTAAATTTTGAAATCCTCTTTGAATTCCTTGAAATGTTTACTTTATTGAATAGCACTGCAAAATGTGCAGTCATAATTCACAATAATTCCTAATAACCCTTATGATGGCATTTTATCTGCAGTCAGTTTTCCATCCCATGTATGTCTCCATCTTTGCATCTAGTATTAGACCCTCTCTGAAATAAGTGCAACTATGTAATTTGCACGCCATTTTTATTTTTATTTATTTATTTATTTAATGTGAGATGAGTAATACCTACAAATGGGTAATTCTCATACTTGTTTAATATCTAGCTTTTTGACCCCTTAAGGACCAAACTTCTGGAATAAAAGGGAATCGTGACATGTCACACATGTCATGTGTCCTTAAGGGGTTAAATGTATTGTGGTTTTTTTTTTAACCGCAACCTTATTGTCGTCGTTCCTCAGAATATGATTTAAAATTAAAGAAATCTCAGTGTATTCTATCAAACACTTTCTAAATACATAAAACAGCATTAACATATTCCTGTAGCACTAAATACGTTAAGAGGGGGATAAAATGAGTAAGTCGCTAGGCAACTGTTTGCAGGCATTCTGACTTGTACAATAAAGAGGAATAGGATAGAGAGGTTTACCATAGAGAGCTATGCATCTATTAGACACAATGCAGGTTTAGTATTTTTTTTGTTTGTTTAAACTAAATTGTAGTGAATTAAAATATTTGCCTCCTTTGAGACTTCAATATAAACCTTTACTTTGATGTTTGTTGTCATGGTCTCTCCCCAGAAGAATTTTGTTTTTATTTATTTTGGCATTTAATATTTTTTACATGAAAATAATATCTACATAGAGTTATTCATTATTCATTACTTGTGAAATTAGTGGAAATAGTTAAATTGATAAAAATCTAAATTCTAACAGTGTGCCAATTCTACAACTTTGGCTATTTTGACCAAATATTTGAAATTTCCCGATTAGTTACCAGTTTATTGATTTACTTTATGAGATTTGTCATGTTCTCAAGATGGTCCAGAGATGCAGAAACACACCTTCCAAGTGTTTCTATTAAGGAGGAACAGTCCCTATTTTGGGTCCACAACCCACTTTTTCATGTCTCTTAGGAGCTACACGTGGTTGGTGTGTCTGAGTGTATAGCAGAGCTTCACAGCAATAATACTCCCAGCAATGTGTCTGAGTGTATTACAGAGCTCCACAGCAATAATACTCCCAGCATTGTGTCTGAGTGTATAACAGAGCTCCACAGCAATAATACTCCCAGCATTGTGTCTGAGTGTATTACAGAGCTCCACAGTAATAATATTCCCAACATTGTGTCTGAGTGTATTACAGAGCTCCACAGTAATAATACTCCCAGTAATGTGTCTTTAAACTACAATAAATGTGTTTAGAAATCAGTTTGTGTAAATAAGATACATTGTTCTTGTTCTAAATTATATTTTAGTTGCATAAATTGTTATTAGTAAGTCACAAAAATATGACCCACACTCACATAGCTAAAATTAAAGTGTCCCTCTTTGAACATTTGAAATGTTGGGGGGAATGCAGAAACGATAAAGTCTTTTTAAAAAAAAACAAAAACAAAAACATTTACAGAATAATGATTAACAAGTATTACAGGTTTTGTTTAATTGGAGAATTGGAGTTAGAGAGAGAAGACAAGATCATTCTCTAGAGATTTGAAGGGCTATTCACTAAAGAGAGAAATTGGTGGGAATTCACAGAGAATTTCAAATTTAAGGTTAAATTCTCCATGTCAGCTATTCTTCCAGTTCAGCTACTTTGTCCTTAAATCTGAAATCCACTTTTAATTTCCAACAATTTTAACTTTGGTAAATAACCGTGCTGATGTTTTCTGGAAGGACGTGGTGTTCAATATGAGAAAATGCATTGACCGCTTCCTTATTATAGCAGGGAACAGAGAGTAAGGTACTGTAAGCAATCCTTCAAATTAATGGGCTATGGGGAGTAAGGCTGATATTGCCTGGGTGAAATGGGAACTTCCTGGACGTGTGGGTAGGAACCTGGCAAGATAAGTCAAAGGTAAACCTACAACTGAGTTTTTGTCTTAGAAACATCGAAACATAGAATGTGACGGCAGATAAGAACCATTCGGCCCATCTAGTCTGCCCAATTTTCTAAATACTTTCATTAGTCCCTAGTCTTATCTTATAGTTAGGATAGCCTTATGCCTATCCCACGCATGCTTAAACTCCTTTACTGTGTTAACCTCTACCACTTCAGCTGGAAGGCTATTCCATGCATCCACTACCCTCTCAGTAAAGTAATACTTCCTGATATTATTTTTAAACCTTTGTCCCTCTAATTTAAGACTATGTCCTCTTGTTGTGGTAGTTTTTCTTCTTTTAAATATAGTCTCCTCCTTTACTGTGTTGATTCCCTTTATATATTTAAATGTTTCTATCATATCCCCCCTGTCTCGTCTTTCCTCCAAGCTATACATGTTAAGTTCCTTTAAACAAAATTATTATTTTTACATTATTTTAGTTGTAATACGTCACAATGACGAGTAGTGTAATCCCAATTATGAAAAATTATAGAGAATGTTCCATATACTGAAACTGATAATTACAGCGTTTAAAAAGGGTTGGCTTCTGAATAAAGCACCAGATATTGTATCCAAACGTCTCGAGTCCAAATGAAAGGTTGATGTCTAACCACAGTTTAAGCTATATAGAGGAGCTAGTTTGATAACAGAGGATTTTATGCTGCGTGTTTTGTGCCATGGGTTCTGCAATCTTAGTATAATGATCTTTTGGATTTATTTCTTCTTCAATTGTAAATTCATCTAATTTTTAAAATTGTATATATTGCAATATATTCGCAACAACTTGCTGATTTTAGCCAAAAGTGGGTGAGATTGATTACAATTTCACTTGAACTGGAGACTGGTTTCAAATCAGCTATTGCGGCCTCCATTTTACAAGTCACGGGTAAATTCGCCATGTCTGCCCCCCCATTATATACATTGTTTAGCTAAGCAGTATTTTATTTTGTGGTCAAACAGAGCCACCTAGTGGAAAATGGGATAATCACTACGAGCACAAATAATGCACAATAAGAAAGCCAGTGATTTGAAGGAATTTATTTTAAAAAGTTCCAGGTTGTGGATCAAAACATTATTAAAGTGCATACATTTTATTATTTTCTTTTTTCTTGTATAATAATAATAATATTAATAAAAATTGACCATTTATTTAATTCGGAGTATTTGATGGGATTCCACCCATAAGAACTTGTTTTTGTAAATGTGTCTGTTTCATACAATTACCCATAATTGCCAAAAATAAAAGTGATATTAAATGCTGGTTTAGTAATGATGTTCCTTTAGAAGTCCAGCTGGGTTGAAATTGATATCCTATAGACTTTCATAATAGCTGTGTTACATACATTATCAATAAATTAACTATATATAAAGAGAAATGTTAACAACATGAAAATTCTATTTATGGTTGTGTGGCATAATGAATGGAATGGAATGGAGATATGGTACAACAGGGGTTTATGTTAATCAGTAGAGTAGATGCTATAGGAACAGAGAGAGGTTATATGGAGTAATAGGAGGAGTTATAGGGAGAGGTTATATGGAGTAATAGGAGGAGTTATAGGGAGAGGTTACATGGAGTAATAGGAGGAGTTATAGGGAGAGGTTATATGGAGTAATAGGAGGAGTTATAGGGAGAGGTTATATGGAGTAATAGGAGGAGTTATAGTGAGAGGTTATATGGAGTAATAGGAGGAGTTATATGGAGAGGTTATATGGAGTAATAGGAGGAGTTACAGGGAGAGGTTATATGGAGTAATAGGAGGAATTATAGGGAGAGATTATATGGAGTAATAGGAGGAGATATAAGGAGAGGTTAAATGGAGTAATAGGAGGAGTTATATAGAGACGTTATATGGAGTAATAGGAGGAGTTATATGGAGTAATAGGCGTTATGGAGTAATAGGAGGAGTTAAAAAGAGGGTTATGTAAATCAATAGGAGGGGTTATAAGGAGTTATAGGGAGAGGTTATATGGAGTAATAGGAGGAGTTATAGGGAGAGGTTATATGGAGTAATAGGCGTTATGGAGTAATAGGAGGAGTTATAGGGAGAGATTATATGGAGTTATAGGAGGAGTTATGGGGAGTGTTGTATAGATATTATATTGAGTAATACAACCAGATATAAGAAACTTTATATGGAGGAATAAGTGAAGTTACATGTACATGTTAAATAGGGTAATGGAAGGGGTTACAGGTAGAGATTATATATGGTAATGGGAGGGGTACATGTAGCAGTTATATTGGGTAATGAGAGGGGTTATAGGTAGAGGTTAAAGCAATGATTATATGAAGTAATAGGGGGAGTTAAGAAGCCATAGGACAATAGGAGATGTTCTGGTAGAAGGGTTTATGATGCAAAATGAAGTTGCCCGATGACCTTACATAGAATTAAAACATTTAATATTGTTCTTTATTTCCACAGGTGGTATCATGGCTATGTCTCCGGCTCTGACTCTGAAAGGCTGCTACAGGACCAGGGCGAGCCATGGACATTTCTTGTGAGAGAGAGTCGCAGTAACCCCGGAGACTTTGTGATCTCCGTTCTGACCGAGGAGCAGAGAGATGGACATTACAAAGTAACGCACATCAAAATATACTGCCAGGTATAATCTGTGTATAGCTTGCAATGTACACTGATCACGGGAGGGATAGGGAGGAGGGCATATGGGTTATTGCATATCCTGGCCAATAGCATACACAGGTTGTGGGCTGCCACCGATCCTATAATACAAATTTATACACCCTCTATAATGTGCACCAATCCTATAGTATGAATCTATATACCCTCTATATTGTGCACCCATACTAGAATACAAATCTAAATACCCTCTATATTGTGCACTGATCCTGTAATACAAATCTAAATACCCTCTATAACGTGCACCGATCCTATAATACAAATCTAAATACCCTCTATAATGTGCACCGATCCTATAATACAAATCTAAATACCCTCTATAACGTGCACCGATCCTATAATACAAATCTAAATACCCTCTATATTGTGCACCGATCCTATAATACAAATCTAAATACCCTCTATAATGTGCATCGATCCTATAATACAAATCTCTATAGCCTCTATAATGTGCACCGATCCTATAATACAAATCTAAATACCCTCTATATTGTGCACCGATCCTATAATACAAATCTAAATACCCTCTATATTGTGCACCGATCCTATAATACAAAGCTAAATACCCTCTATAATGTGCCCCGATCCTATAATACAAATCTAAATACCCTCTATAATGTGCACCAATCCTATAATACAAATCTAAATACCCTCTATATTGTGCACCGATCCTATAATACAAATCTAAATACCCTCTATATTGTGCACCAATCCTATAATACAAATCTAAATACCCTCTATAATGTGCATCGATCCTATAATACAAATCTAAATACCCTCTATAATGTGCACCAATCCTATAATACAAATCTAAATACCCTCTATAATGTGCACCAATCCTATAATACAAATCTAAATACCCTCTATAATGTGCACCGATCCTATAATACAAATCTAAATACCCTCTATAATGTGCACCGATCCTATAATACAAATCTAAATACCCTCTATAATGTGCACCGATCCTATAATACAAATCTAAATACCCTCTATAATGTGCCCCGATCCTATAATACAAATCTAAATACCCTCTATAATGTGCACCAATCCTATAATACAAATCTAAATACCCTCTATATTGTGCACCGATCCTATAATACAAATCTAAATACCCTCTATAATGTGCCCCGATCCTATAATACAAATCTAAATACCCTCTATAATGTGCCCCGATCCTATAATACAAATCTAAATACCCTCTATAATGTGCCCCGATCCTATAATACAAATCTAAATACCCTCTATAATGTGCACCAATCCTATAATACAAATCTAAATACCCTCTATAATGTGCCCCGATCCTATAATACAAATCTAAATACCCTCTATAATGTGCACCGACCTCCGTAATACTAATAATATGATTTCCATACTCTCTGTGTGAGATCACTGGAGTTACTATATTTTTGCTTATGTAAGGACCACACAGCATACAACCCATTGGTGATTCACGCTCTCTCTGCAGGGCGGCAAATACACTCTCGGAGATGTCAAGTTTGATTCCCTTACTGATCTCATAGAGGAATACAGGAAGAAACACATAGAGGAAATGTCTGGGACCCATGTGTTCTTGAAAAAGGTGAGTGTGAGCACTAGCAAGCAGTGTGTGCAGCTCTTTAACATCAAATGCCAAGGATCCCCAGTAATCTCTGTTTCGGGGTTTCCACTGCTCCTAAACCTTTCGCTGCCACCGACCTGGGCTACACAATTTGCCCCACTCAGTGTACACACTGGGGAATATTTATTAACAGAATTCTATAGCAGTTACCATTATCAAATTCAGCCTTTCTTTATTTGTTTTGCTGTTGATCCAAAAAAGGGCAAAAAAACCCAGTTTGAAGCATTTCCAATGTTTCAACAAACTAGGAAAAAATTCCTTCTCAAACCCAAAATGGCAGTCAGATCTCTCCATGGATCAAGAAGCTGTAACCCCACTTATTAAAAGTTATATGAATCTTGTATTTTTGCAAGTGTTCATCCCGTTGCTGTTTAAACTTCTGCACAGAGTCTAATAGGTGATAAAATTCCACATCCTTATTGTAAAAAATCCTTTCCTTTGCCTTTGCCTAAATCTCCAGTTTAAATGCGTGACTTTGTGTCCTATGTACAGTCCTGTTTATGAATAGATTTCCAAACAATGGTTTTTATTGGCCCCCAAATATATTTGTATAATGTTATCATATCCCATCTCAGGTGACGTTTTACTAAACTAAACAGATTTAATTTTGTTAACCTTTCTTCATAGCTGATATGCTCCATTCCTTTTATTAATTGTTTAGCCCGCCTCTGCACTTTTTCTAGTGCCATAATATCCTTCTTTAGAACAGGTGCCCAAAATTGCACAGCATATTCAATATGTGGTCTTATCAGTGATTTATAAAGAGGCAAATGATATTCTCATACCGAGAATTAATGCCCTTTTTTTATACATGACAATACCTTATTGGCTTTAGCCACTGCTGATTGAGATTGCACATTGTTGCCTAGTTTTGTTAGCCCTAATTCAATACGGTTTAGGGTATACGTTGCTTGTGCATTCTTTACCAGATGTATGCCCTTTACCCTGGTGTGTAATAACAATTGGTTGACATCCCCTGTTTTCAGATTATACTTAGTGAGCTAACTGAGCCAGTTTCAGCTTGTAATGGCTCTGTTGGTTTCTGTACGTAAAAAAAGCCGGTCAGGTATTAAAGTGATAGATTCAGTTTCGGTGAATTTATGTCCCTTTTGATCTAACCTCCTGTAAAGTTCTGTATTTAAATGATAGTAGACTTCATGTAGTGTTAAAAATAATTAAGAATACATTTTGTAAAACACCTTAATCAGACCCTTCCCAGTTTGAGTCGTTTTTATTGCTTTTTGGAAACTCCATATTGTGCGTAGTAAGCTTTGCGAGAATTCCTGCTTACATGTGGAGATGTAACCAACTTGAAACCTCATCTCGCTCTGATTTGGGTTGGAAATGACTTTGTAAAAAATGTCTAACCTTTAATTGAAGTATAATGTGTTGACATGGTCATTCTCTGTTCTTTCAGCCGTACTATTCCACCAGAATTAATGCAGCTGACATAGAAAACCGCATGAAAGAACTGGATAAAAAATTAGACAAACAGGAGACCTCAAAGGCTGGGTTTTGGGAAGAGTTTGATGTAAGTAGCTGACAATGTTATAGCAGAAAGTATACTTCTTCTATCTATCTATCTATCTATCTACCTATCCACCTATCTATATTTGTTATAGAAATTTTTGGCAGTATAGCAGTTGCCGGCTGTTTAGCAGTTTCCAGCAGTATAGCAGTTGCCGACAGTATTGCAATTGTCAGCAGTTTATCAGTTGCCAGCAGTTAAGTATTTTCAGGCAGTTTAACAGATGCCATAAGTATTGTACTTGCTTGTTATTTATTATTTATTTATAACTGTTGCTGCTTGATTATAACAGCTGCCAGCAGTATATTAATTAGTGTATATTAATTATGTAATTGTAAAAAATTAGACAAACAGCAGACCTCAAAGGCTGGGTTTTGAGAAGAATTTGATGTAAGTAGCTGACCATGTTATAGCAGAAAGCATACTTCTTCTATCGATCTATCTACCTACCTATCTATATTTGTTATAGAAATTTTTGGCAGTATAGCATTTGCCGGCTGTTTAGCATTTGCCGGCAGTATAGCATTGGCCGGCAGTATAGCATTGGCCGGCAGTGTTGCCGGCAGTATAGCAGTTGCCGTCAGTTTAGCAGTTATCGGCAGTATTGCAATTGCCAGCAGTATAGCAGTTGCCGGCAATATTGCAATTGCATAGCAGTTGCCGATAGTGGAGCAGTTGCCGACAATAAAGCAGTTGTCGGCAGTATTGCAATTGCCAGCAGTTAAGTATGTGCAAGCAGTTTAACACATGCCATGAGTATTGTACTTGCTTGTTATTTATTATTTATTTATAAATTTTGCTGCTTGTTTATAACAGCTGCCAGCAGTATATTAATTATATAATAGTTTTTTAAATGGAATTTACCAGGAGTAATACATTTTCTCATTATGTTAGAGAGTGTTATTACTATAATTGTTGTGTGGATGTGCACTTTCTGTTCTTTATTATACTACTCAAATTTGATCTTTCACTTTATTCAGTGGATTCCTGATGTCTGTCTTTCCCAACAGGATTATCTTTTATCGCTATCTCTTTCTGTCTGTTTCCTTCTTTCTTTCCGCTTCCTGTCCCAATATTTCCTTCTTTTCCAATGTCTTTCCCTGTCTCTTTATATCTATCCTCCCTCTCTCTTGTGTCTCCCTCTTCCTTTCCTTAATTTCTCTTTTCCTCTGTGCTGCTCACATTGAATTCTTGGATGCATGGCATTACCAGATAGTCAAAGAATATGGTATCTTCACTCTGTTTTACTCTAGTAATCAAGTTTTTCCTTCTTCTATGGACCTCCTCTCTCCAATCCAAAGCTTATTTCACCTTTTCCAATCTGTCCTCGCGCAGGCTCTTCAGAAGCAGGAATCCAAGTTACTCTATGACAGAAAAGAAGGTCAAAGACCAGAAAACAAGAGCAAAAACCGATACAAGAACATCCTACCCTGTGAGTGATCGCATTGCCTGCCCTGCTACTAGACCTGCTCATACCAACTGATCTTTAACCCATCCCTAATTCTGACCCAATCATCAACATCACTCTTTCTTTGACCAATACTGAAGGTTATATTGATCTTGATCCTTTCTTACACCAAATTTTATTCTGACCCCAATTTGTCACGATCTCGATCCTTTGCCCCAAATCACCTTTTCTCCTTCATGACCATATCAGTCAGTATCACTCCTTCCTCTTCACTCAATTATTGCACTTTGTTCCTTCACTTTCATTCGCTATCTTAATCTATTCTCATTTCGTTGAGTTCTTCCATCCACTAATTCCTCACTCTTTCTCCCCCTTCTTCAGTTGACCACACACGAGTTATATTAAGAAGCAGAGACAAGAATATTCCTGGATCAGACTATATCAACGCCAATTATGTGACGGTGAGAGATGTTATTGGATTAGAGAGACAGAGAATAGGAACTTAAAGCTGTCCATAAATTGGAGAGATACAGGGGATTTGTACACTAAAACGCATGTAATGGTGACACGAGAGTGGACAAAACTGAGAGAGGAATAGTGTCCAAATTGGTTAAATGTCATTATAATTCACTTTTTGTGAATAACCCCTAATGACTGGCGCGCTGTGGGGTATGAATGTTGGGATTCTTAGTAATAATTCCATAATATGTCAATAGAAGCTGATATTTGCAGATGGCATAAAACTAGGAAAGGTAGCAAAATGTGTGCAGGCGATTGTCTACAGAAAGGTAACTGTTAGGAAAAACGCAAATGAGAAGGACTTTGGAGACACACTGGGGAACAAAGTACAATGTCATCGGCCCTGATGCATACAGTAAATACATAGTGGAGAAACAGAAGCATTATTTCATTTATCCTCTTATCCTTATACTGTCTGCCAGATGTAAAGGACGGACCTTATAACAATGATTGACACAAAGCTAAAATGGAGGCACACCGTTGTAGTGCAGACGTGTGGATTTCTGCATTACATTTTATTTTCACATCTCACAAATACAAATCAGTTAAATATAGAGGATGAGTAAATGTAATATTACACATTATTGGAAGTAACTGCTCTCCTTTTAAGGACTAAGGCATTTTATGATGACATCACTATCTGATCCTTAAAGGGACACTCCAGACCCCTAAAGCACTTTAGCTTGCTGAAAAGCTTTATGTGTGTAGAGCAGTGGTAGTCAACCTTTTTCCACTTACCGCCCACTAATGCATCTTTCTTGATGGAAAAATTTCCTTACCGCCCACCAGTTTTCGCGCAAGCGCGGAATATTTTTTAGAAAGGAGGGTGTTTTAAAAAATACATAAATGAACGTACATTTATCTTTTTATTTCTACTTTATGCATGTTTATAATGTTTTTAACTTTATAAAGTTTAATGAGGAAGCAATAAAGTAAATTGAGCTTACCTTTACTAGTGATTAATGAGATCCTTGAGGTTGATGCTGCGAGACTAAATATTTGATATCTGGTTCGATTTTCATAAGGAACAAACGAAGGTCTCCTCTTTCAGTGATAATCGGAAGACTTCTTTGTTTGCTCATAAAATGATTTCTCATCTGTGCGTCAGCTCCCCTCCTCTCCCTCCTCAATTCCCCTTCCCACCTTTTTCCCCTTTTTTCTATTTTTTAACCTTCCTTATAGCAATGCCCAGTAGGAAGGCTGAGCTAGGTAGCCCACTTACTATTATTAGTCAACAACAATTCTCTCCTTTTCCTTTTCTTTCCTTCTCCTTTTTTACAAGTACTCTACTCCTTCTTTCCTCTATACTAGAAGTACTCTACTCCTTCTTTCCCCTATACTAGAAGTACTCTACTCCTTCTTTCCCCTATACTAGAAGTACTCTACTCCTTCTTTCTCCTATTCTACAAGTACTCTGCACCTTCTTTCTTCTATTCTACAAGTACTCTGCTCACAGACAAACACATACACACACACACTCACATTGAAACACATACACACAAATATACACATACTCACACATGCACTTACAGACACTCACACATACACAGACAGACCCACAGACACACACACACTTACTGACACACACACATACACTTACAGACACACATACACTTACAGACACACACACATACACTTACAGACACAGACACACACATACACTTACAGACACACACACACATACACTTAGAGACAAACACATATACACACAAATTATTAATATTAAATATCCACCCAGCCTCCCTACCTGGAGAGCTGGTGTGGATCTGTCCCTGGGGTCCAGTGGGGCTTCACTTAGGCGGGCGGCTAATCAGACGCAGCGAGGGAGCTCTAACCTCTCTGCTCTGCTCCCTCGCGGACTGTCTACGGATGCCGGGAGCCGGAATATGACATCATATTCCGGCTCCCGCGGCATCAGCAAACATCGCGCGAGGGAGCAGAGCAGAGAGGTTAGAGCTCCCTCGCCGCGACTGATTAGAACTCTGCCATGCCGGGGGGTCCAGAAGGTGGCCTGGCAGGAGGGAGCGCTTCCTCCTGCCGGTCACTGAAGACTTGCGCATGCAGAGCCGCTCGCGCCCGCCCAAAAGGAGAAATCCTCTTAAAAAGAGGATTTAGCCTCAGAAATCCCTACCGCCCACCTGGAATCCTAAAACGCCCACTAGTGGGCGGTAGGGACCAGGTTGACGACCCATGGTGTAGAGTGTGTCCTATTTATTTCAATTTGGATATAGTGCAGATTTCAATAGAAACTGACACTTTTCTGGCTGTTGGAGTGGACTACAGGTCCTTTTACTTCCTGGTTTGGCTAGCTTATTTGCACTGAACTCACAAAGCAGGAATTGCCCAGAGCACCTGCCTTGCAAAGATTTCTCATTAAGCTGCATTGGGAAGTCTGTGATTGGACAGCCACAGAAAGTCTGGAGGGGTTTAGAAGGGGAGGGATTGCAAAGGCTTCAGACCAGAGAAACACAGGTTTTGCAGGCTGTGTTTAGATATAACTCCAATGATAATATTCTTAATTAAATGCATGGATGTTTTCATTTTAGCTGTAGCTAGTAAAGAGTGAATTTTATTTATTTTGTATTTTGGGAAGTGGAGTATCCCTTTGAAGAACCTGTGCCAGCATTGAATGCCATGTATATTTACAATGTTCAGCAGGTACAGATTTGTTGCTGGATATGAGAGGGATTGTGATCAAGCATATTATATTATATGTTATATCATACTATGGTTAAGACAGAATTTGATGATCAATTAATTGTTGGGAAGCAGTAGTAATAAAGTCATTTTTATGTTTTGCAGGCTATGAATTTTTTTTTTTTATAATTTTACCTACATGTTTTTATAGTGAATTTGTTGCAATATATAAGGTTCCTAAATAAAATCAGTTCTGATAGTGACCTCTAGTGGTTAAATAGTAGAATTTGACAATTAACACGACACTTATTATGTTGGTATAATTTTCTATACAGAAAATAAAATAGTGGATAGGCGCTTCACTAAAATTAATGGCAATATAGTATGGAGTGGATAATTTTCTATATTATTATTTTATTATTTATATAGCGCCAGCAAATTCCGTAGCGCTGTACAATGGGGATATGTAACATTACTTGTCTGGGTTTTCCAGAGTCAGCGTCACTCCTGAACCATCTATCCTATCAGTGCCTCGACGCCTTCTGATGCCAGATAGTGACCTTCTTAATCTTTTTACCAGTCTTGGTCCTTATTTCATTCTATAATGTCCATATTATATACCCAGCATTAATTCATATGAACGAGTAACACAACTCAAATCCCCTATTTATTTGTACCCTTGCCTACATGGGTACAGTGCCCTTTTATGGCCTTATCTGAACCAAATAACAGGTTTTACTAGTGTTTCGGTTTGCCCTTGCTTTGTTCTTATGTTTGATATTTCTTGACTTGCCTTATCAGTATCATTATGTTCAAGCTCCCATTGACCTAGGCATTTCCTTTGACTACAATGTCCTTTTTTCGTCACAACCTATTGTTTAAATAAAGCCACAGTTCCAGAACGTACTGATGATATTGATTGATCCTGGAAAGCAGGTGATGGGTAGTAGTGTGTGTCCATTGAAGTGAATTTGCCATTCTGAGTAGATTTCAAGATGGATTAGAGAAGGGCTGAAAATGTACATTGATCTGGTAAAGTGGTTGATATTGTGATATGGACTCGTTTTGTGACCTTGACAGTTCTCGTCATTGCAGAATCAGCTTTGGGGTGATGGAGAGCCCCCAAAACGTTTCATTGCATGCCAGGGGTGTCTGGCCGCAACCACGGGCGATTTCTGGGAGATGGTCTGGCAAGAAAACAGCCGTATCATCGTCATGACAACAAAGGAAATTGAGAAAGGCCGGGTGAGTTAAAGCCTTTACTTTTACTCACAGTAACACAGTAATCATTCAACATTCATACTTACAAAAACATATTTTACTCCCAATGACCCTAACACATTAACATGGTAATAAAATGTTCATTAACTCTTATATACTCAGGATAATAAATGTCCATGTATTCTCATATACTCAGGATAAGAAATGTCCATTTATTCTCATATACTCAGGATAATAAATGTCCATGTATTCTCATATACTCAGGATAAGAAATGTCCATTTATTCTCATATACTCAGGATAATAAATGCCCATTCATTCACATATACTCAGGATAATAAATACCTATTCACTCTATTAGTCACAATAACAAGCTTCTCTCTCTCATAGTAACATATTTATTCTGTTTACGAACATTAATACCTAATTCTCCGTCATATTCAAATAAACCCCTCACCTTATTCTTACTCAGACCAAATGTGTACCATACTGGCCAGACTTTGGGGAAAATGGAAAAGATTTTGGAAGATTTTGGGTTCAACTACTTAATGAACACGAAGCACAGGGTTATAAAGTCCGCACTCTGCGACTGTCTCCTCTGGAAAAGGTAAATGTGACCCCTGAATTAAGGGCACAATCTGCCCTGTGTGTCTCCTATTCCTGCTCATACTGTTGCTATAGTCAGGATTATTTTTGCATTGCAGTACTGTTAATTTGTTCATTGGTATGTTCCTCAGCCTGATGCTATCCGGGATATCATCCACTACCAGTATCTTACATGGCCTGATCACGGGGTCCCTGCAGACCCTGGCGGTGTCCTCAGTTTCTTGGGAGAAGTTAACCGCATGCAGGAGAGTATTCCCAGGGCGGGCCCTATTGTTGTTCACTGCAGGTATCCAAAACATTTCCTACAGTCTGCTCCATCAAAATAATTATCCTTCCTGTAGTACACTGAATGCTGACCATATATTTCCTTTTTTCTATAAATGTGACCTTTAAATCCTTACTGTTCTCTCTTTCCGCACAGCGCTGGGATTGGACGCACTGGAACCATTATAGTCATCGATATGTTGGTTGATATGATTCAAATGAAAGGTGATAAAGCCTCACTCCTCTCAAATAGTTATCAATTTTCCATCTTCATTTCTGTTACACTAATACTTATTCATCACTAACATCTTTTTCAATTTTAAGCTCTTCCCTCAGCATTCCTTTCACACATTATTTCCTCCAGGTGTGGACACTGACATAGATGTACAGAAGACCATCCAGATGGTGCGTAGCCAACGGTCGGGCATGGTACAGACGGATGCCCAGTATAAATTTATCTACTTAGCCATCGCACAATTCATAGACTCACAAAAATACAAGATGAAGGCACTGGAGGTATGAGATGCATTGGGAATTGTGGGGAGTAAATGAGAGATTTGGTTCCAGGGCATGCTTTAAGCTTGGGAGACCAGATTTAGAATGTTGGGAACTTGTCCATAGTTCTACGTGTATTACGGATAAAATATGGTAATAGGGATTAATGTTATACTTTCAAACAGGACTCAAAAGTCTCAGAGGCAGAGTACGGGAACCTGAGTCACACTCTATCCAAGATGAAGGTTGCCCGGACACCAGTAAAGTAAGATGTGGAGATGTGTAATTAAAATAGATCTTTCTGGTCTTTTTGCATACCTGTCCAACTGATATTTTATTTATTATAGGCCACCGGAAGAGGGTACAGTTTATGAAAATCTAAATGCTAGGAAAGATAAGAAGGAAAAGGTTAATAAGAAAACTTCTTCAGAGAGGGAGAAACCCAGATCATCGCTGAAAAAGAAGTAACCTGAAGGTGAGAGAAGAACAGCAAGGGGACAAAAATGGTTAGAATTGTGGAATGGCAGAAGACATGAGATTGAAGTAATGGGGAGAGGAGGCTGAAGAAAGAGTGAAGCAGGACTGGGGTGGGAGTAGACAACAAGCTGTGAGGTGGATAGGTACACAAATCTAATTTTAGAGGAGAAATTGTGAGGGAGCAAGAATCCATCGTTACTGTGAGATGGGTTCTTCACTAAGTGTTGGTGTAAAGTTTCCGTTAAAGGGTCACTATAGTCACCAGTACAACTACAGCTTATTGCATTTGTTCTGGGGAGTATAAGCATTCCCTTCAGGCTTTTTGTTTTATATACACTTTTCAGAGAAAAGACTGTGTTTACATTATAGCCTAGGGATACCTCCATTGGCCGCTCCTAAGATGGCTACTACAGGTGCTTCGTGGGGCAGTGCTGCACAATGTGACTGCCATGCAGTGTCTCCACCCTCTGCGTACAGACACTGAACTTTCCTCATAGAGATGCATTGATTCAATTCATCTCTATGAGAAGACGCTGATTCACCAGGGCTGTGTTGGCTCTGCCTCCTTGACTATCTCAACCAATCCAGTGCATTCCCATGGGAAAGCATTGTGATTGGCTAAGAACACCACTTCTGATGATGTCAGCAAAGCAGGCACCTGCAGCCTGGAATAATTAATATTGTTACATTAAGGGGGGAATGGGGCGCGCATATGGTGGTTTTAACACTATAGGGTCAGGAATACATGTTTGTGCTTCTTGAACTATCAAATTCTTAAACATGTTAGGCATTTAATCCTGTCTGACAATGAATACGTAACAAATATGACATAGTTGCGATAGGTATACCTTGAACATTAGCACTCGGTAAGTGTTTGGCCATGGACATTAAAAGTGAGTTCTATTCTTACGACTATATGCGTTTGTAGAATGGTAAAGTTGTAAATAACAGAAAAGAGTTGTCCGGCCAGCAACAAAAAGTGCAGTATGTTGCAGGAAACACCTAACAGTGCTAGTTTTATCACCTTGTATTGTTAATTTCGATCCGCCCTATGAGGGTTTTTACTCATCTTTCTTTGGATGCGTAATCCAGAGTGGAGTATTAGTAAAGTAGTGAATGTATATTGAGAGTCCCACTATAGATACCTAGTAGAAGGGGAGTGAAGTATAGGACAGAAAAGAATCAGAGAAAGTAACAGGATGAGAAGAGTTCCTGATCGCTGTTGGCAGTGTGTGTCGGGGAGGCAAGTAGGGACAGGAGGAGGGGGAGACAGTGAGCAGCGAGGTATAACCAAACTCAGCCCAGAGGGAGAAGCGTCGGGGCACGACAGGCCCTATATTCCACCACCCGCCCCGAGCCCCCACATTTGAGTTCTTTTTAATTTAGTGCACTGCATGTGTACAAATGATTATATGCAAAAATGCGAGTTTTTCCACATTTTTTTCCATTTAATCACATATGGGCTTTTAAAATAAGTAAAATGTATGGGGGACACTTGAAGAGAAACTTTAAATCATGATGGAACAAACCCATAGCCTAAATTCAAGGTTTGGTTTTAAAACGTGGACAATTACCTCCATTCTGCTTGTGAGAGATTAATGGAACAAACCCTTAATGTGCTATACAAAATCAGGGGTAATAGTAATTCCTTCCTTTTCCCTTGCAGGTCTACCTGGTGCTAACACACCTGGGTATCAAGACTCCACACAGTATTTGGCATCTCTGCTTTCTGTATAAATCGACTGCTGTTAGTTCTCCTCCCCCTCCGCCCGGATCTAACTGGAAACATTTTCACAGACTCTGAAGCTAATTGTTATTTAATAAAGTTTAAAACAATGTGTGTGAACAGTGTGTGTTACATAAATTAAACTCTTTGTGCAGCATATCCGAATAAACCAGGGAAGCTATAATGCCACGATTTGCCTGTGCATTCGGACAGTGCTTTAAATATCTTTTCCCAGTGCCAAAGGGGTAAGGAGTGCAAATCAAACCTCTGACTCACTGAAGGTTTTATGCAGAATTAATTAGGCAAATTAAATAAACCAAGGTTTGGATGCATTAAAACCAAACACTGACCTCTTCCAGTTTTTTGCATAACAGAGGAGCATAGTAACAAATGTAAATGTTGATGCTTGACTATTTAACTTTTATACCAGCAGGAACTTTGTTTGACAGCAGACAGAAGCTGGCTATTATTTCCCCAACTATACAGGATACTTATGATTGGAGTACAAGTTCCAAACTTTATCTTCCTGCATCGCTCATTAGCAATTTTGTAGAAAATGTGCTAGGTCATGCAGAATTTATATCAAATACATCACTGACCACTACGTGCACCTACAGTGCCTGCTGGATCTCCACTGTCACCCACTCTCTCCTTGAGGTGACAACAATGGTATAGGGGCAAAATAAACCGAAAAAAAGGAGGTCTGAGCTTCCAGTTGTAGTGTGCACCAATGTGCTACCAAGCATTTATTTGATGGACATAAAAGACTTATGTCCACTTTTATGTCCTTCAAATAAATGCTTGGTAGCACATTGGAACATACTACAACTGGAAGCGCAGACCTCATTTTTTTCTATGTTTATTTAGTTTATTCTGTCCTATACACAGTATCCAAGCTGAATAAAAGAGTGCTGCTAATCTCTATACTCAATGGGACGTCTGCTAGCACACTACAGCTCTGAGGACCGAGGAAATTAATGGCTAACCTTCATGGTAGTCTCCCCTATACTACAGGCCAATAACAGGACCAAGATCAGAAACAAGTCAGCTAGGACTACAGTGCATCTCTTTACAACAAAATTGTTAAATTTACTTTCATTTCCTGACAATTCACATTTTAGTAACGGACAGTGCGTGCAGAAAATATACCCACTATATAAGCACAGTGGTCACATAGAATGTACACACTGCAAGGAATACCTCCTCACACTCCCTGTGTAAGATTTTTGTATTAACTTTTGCAATTCAAAATAATTTCACAAAAAACAAAATCAATTTCAATGAGTTAATTTTTTTATATAAATTTCACACTGATAAACATCTCTCGGTGTCAGAGGCATAATCCAGATTTCAGTTGAAGGGGTGTAGACCATCAGGCACCTCCTCTTAAATTGGGGGTCTCTCCACTGCATGGGAATGGTAATTGGGGTGAGTGGTCAGATGACGTACTACGTGGCCTGCTCAATCTGCGCTCTTCATTTCTTTGGAGGTTTGATAAGCAAACTGTCACTGCAAAATGAAATAAAGGTGTGAACTAGAGACTGGGAAAGAGTCACAAGCAAGGAAGAGGGAGGAGAGGAACCAACTAGTGACAGAGGAGCTGTGAATGGGGTACATGCTAGGCAATCAGAGGAGGCAGGGAATCAAAGAAAAAGGAGCAGAATAAATTTTATGTCAAGAACGGATAGGATTCTCGAGCAGGGACTGCGGGACAACTGTAGGTTATTAGAGTAAGGTAGGTTTGGAGATAGCAAAGATAAATAATAGAAAAAGGGTGAAGGGAGAGTGTTACTTACCTTCCACTGCAATGTAGAGAATAAAAATAAATGTGGGGAAAAAAAAAAAAAAAAGGATAAAAACTAATTAACAGAGAACAAAACAGTTTGGTATCCATCTAGATATTTGCATATAATACGAGTAATACAATGGTATGGATTGGTGTCGGACATGTGAAGTCAGAGTGATTTTATTAGTCCAGTGATTCAGATGAAATATATTTGGATATACCAGTATATTTTAATTACATTCTTATTGCAATCTAAGTTTTGGAAATAAACATTTGTCCATTATCTCTCTTACCAACTCTGAACTATTCTTTTTGCCATTTCTAGAGCGACAACTTATTCCGCAGCGCTTAATTAAATCATGTCCGTGTTTAAGTTTGGTCAGAAATGCTTAAGACATGATACAGATTACTGCCACACAACATTATCTTTCAGTCAGGACTATTATAGAGACATTATTTAAAATGGGACGATTTGGGTTCAGTATAGTGATCAAGATACATTACAGTCCAGTGCCCATTACCTGGTAAATCGGTCATCCTGCAGATTTAGCACTAGGTTGTCTGAATTCAGATATACTCGGTTCTGTGAAGCTGCAATCTGCAAGACAATAAGAAGGAGACAGGATGGTGAAAGGTTAAAGTAACACTATAGTCACCAGAACAACTACAGCTTATTCAATTTGTTCTGGTGAGTAAAATTATTACCTTCAGGCTTTTTGCTGTAAACACTGTCTTTTCAGAGAATATGCAGTGTTTATATTACAGCCTAGTGATAACTTCACTGGCCACTCCTCAGATGGCTATATTAGAGGTCCTTCCTGTGTCATGGCTGCCTAAAATGCATCCAAACATTCAATATCTCCTCCCTCTGCATGCAGACACTGAACTTTCCTCATAGAGATTCATTGATTCAATTCATCTCTATGAGGAGATGCTGATTGGCCAGGGCTGTGGTTGAATCATGCTGGCTCTGCCCCTGATCTGCCTCCTTGTCAGTCTCAGCCAATCCTATAGGGAAGCACTGTGATTGGATCAGGCTACCACTTCTGATGATGTCAGCAGGCAGGTCTAAAGGAAACAGTGACAACGCAAGCAGCTCCAGACTTGAATACAAATAAGATTTTACAATATTTAGAGGGGACCAAGGTGGCTAGATGGTGGTTTTAACCCCATAGGGGTCAGAAATACATGTTTGTGTTCCTGACCCTATAGTGCTCCTTTAATAATGTATCCACTAAGCGGATGTGTGTACACTTGGGGTCTATATAGGATGGCATAAAGGAATAAAGACCCAGCACAAGGAGGTGGAAATGGAAGGTAACAGGACTCTTGTATGGTATTTGCACTAACCGTCTTTGAGATGCTCTGTGCTGCTCGTATCCGACGTAGCTTCAGGTATCCAGGATTTTTACTAAGTGCATCACCAATGTATAAAATAATGTCAAGGATAACATGAAATAAAGGAGGCATAACAGGTGC